AGTGGAATGCAAATATTAATATGTAATTGCATTTGAAATTAAAGAAAATAATAAAACTTAATCAACTGTTTAGTTGCATCACAATATATGTCACAAACTAAAACTATCTGAAAAACATATCTTTCAAGTATACATTATCAAAAAGTGTTTTCGGCCCTTTTTACAATTTCCAAAATGCAATGCGGCTCTCGAAAACCCATGCGTTTGACACCACTGATCTATTCTAGACAATTCAAGCATTGCTTTGGGAAATAATATCACTTCAAATAAATTGAAAAAAATCTCGCTACATAAATACAAAATCGTTGCTATCATAAAGGTAAACCAATTCAGCCACTCGGAATATATTGGCCTTCACAAAGCAATGGAGGCAAAATTGAGAGTTCGTGAGCTATGAACTTTTGTTCTTTTCCTTGTCTTGAACTTTTCATACTCCACAGCCCCTATTAATTTTTTTTTAATTTTAATTACCATGTGATGGTCATACATATCTTTAACTTGTATTTTCTGTCATGATGTATTATCTCAATGTGTCAAACCGTAGTAGTATATATTTACGGTCAAACTTTTAATTAGTGTGCATATTTTGCTTCCAGAAGACATAAATGTACAGTATTGTCTTGTTTATTACCTCAGCTTGGAGTATTGACAAGAAAAAGGTGCCCGTAAAACTCTTTGTTATAATCAGAATTCACAATTAATAGGAATCATAAACAGCCAACATTCAATGAGAATTATATGCCAAATCCCTCAGAATAAATTTGTCTTCTAAAATCGGAGGAAGGCAAAACATATAGGTAGTTTCCATTCATACAAGTCTTTCAAGAAGACTTACTCGAGCCAAACTAAATGAGCATCGTCAGATGATCGGTAAGGCTGCAAGTTGAATCAGCCCTGCAACCTCCCGCATAGAAGATATTAATTAGTGGGCTATGAACTAAATTCCTACATTTAGACACAAACCTATCTACGAGGCATTATGTACCAGCAATGTTACCTACGGTTAACTAAATATGTAATTATGTCTAATAAATTAACCTACTAAAGCAAGTTCGATAGGTGCAAACTAGTGTTATGGAATTGTATCACAGCACCGTTAAGAGAAGTAAAAACAGTTTTGCTGTTTTGTATGACACTCTCTTTAAATGAAATTTCAATGTTTAAGCGCAAACATTAAAATTACTAACTTTTAACTTTGTCATTATCTGCAAAATGTTCCACAAAATCTTTACGCTATCGCGTTTGTAATCTTCTCTGATAAAAAAAAAACGTCTATGATGTCCAGAATTACTCTTTACAGCTTGTCTGCCATTCCAGCTTTCCAAGTGAGCAAAACTTCTTAGATATAGAGATTATTTTCTTTCGTTACAGGCGCAAAAAGGCAGGCACTACACGTAAAGAAGACGCCGGGTAGCAAAAGCGAGCGGAAAACGGTCGCGAAAGGCTACGAGAAATATGTGCATTGGAGCGTATCATGAAATACAATCTTTCGCATGTAGTCTTATGGAGTGACGTCAGAGTTGCCTATCATGTTGTTTAATGTCATTGGTCCAGACCAACGACTAACACTGTTATGGTACTAATAGTCCGGCAGAATCGAGCCTTAACATTGTTTTGGGACATAAAGTTTTTTTTATTGTTTAGATATAATGTATATGACATATATAATGATACCCAGGTGGGTGTGGAGTATATAATGTTGAGCAATTTTTTTTAAGTGGATTTAAAGTATTCGGTCCAAGATGACGCACATCCTGAACCCCTACCTGGTAAGCATACAATATTCAGGTTGTGCGCCATCTTTGTACGAATACTTCAGGAGCGCCTTTTTGTTAAAAACAATTATTTCATAACTACATGGTTTAGTTTTGCATACATAGTAACATTGAATCTCCTTACAATGTCAGAAATTCAATTTTAGTAGAATAAATGGTAGTTTATTTCACTAATACAAGCCAAGATCCATCGACAGTATCTAGCCACTTTCTATTGCGCTCTTCAAACTACATTTGCGTTGCTGCGCGCATTTCCTTTTTCTAGTTTAAGCTTAGGGACTTGGGAAATATTTTATTAGTTGAATTGGATTGGAATATTTGACCTCGTCTTTCACTCCGAACAAGGCTATGTAAAACCATCCACTGGTATCTAAAGATGTGTAACGTATATTCTTTTGGAAGAACCGCAACCTTTCAGTGCTGCATTGATTTTGGCAAAATTAATATATCCTTGTGGAGATAGAAGGTATACGTATGCGAAACCGAGATGTGCACCTGTTATGCCAACAGTTGAGTCAAACGTTTTGAATACTAGTACATCACACACATTTTCCCGCGTGCTTCGGTTGTACGTAGTAACGCGCACATTTTTGCGCACATGCATCAAATTCCACTTGATTATTGAACTATAGGTTTTTGACGAGTTTTTGTGAATTATTCCATTCCATAGAATTTGTATGCTGTTCTAAAGAATATTAGTTTCAGCCTTTTCATTCATTCAAACCGCGTGTTGAAAGTAAGTTTTGTAATATTGCGTGCTGGTTTCCAACATCCTTAAATCGGTGATGCCATTAAATCTTTAATACAAAAAGATTAGTAACATCTGCAATAAAAACAGCAGTACCCACTAAAATGACAGCTGGGGGATGGATACTCTTAGTATCTGATCCATCGCGTGCCTCCTACAGTCTTACCAGTTTACATAAGTGCCAATTAGTATCCGCGCTCAGCCAGAGACAAAATGTTTCGGACTGCAGTTGGCGTGCCGAAATGTTTTTAAAGTTATATTCTACAATAAGATTATTTGATTGCATACTACTGAAAGTTCCGCCTCATATGTCTTTTCCCATTGCATTATTCCTTTACTGATAATCGATAATATGACGCTCATCTGACATAGTTCTTAAAGTGTGTAGATGGGTATAATCTTTTCCACGCTGTACAGATAGGAACGCGCGAATATATATAAGAATTGCTAATATTGGTTTACAATGCGATGAAATCCCATCTTGGCATTTCTGCTTCTCGCAATTGCTGCGTATACTTATCGGGGAAGTTCTGTGGCGTGGTTATCAAATGAGAAAAAAAAAACATGGGAGTATTTTTTCTACTTCTCTACTACTATCAAACCTTGACATTTTGTGAAACCTTTTTTCCATGCAACCTTTTTTTAAAACATCCCCAACAACCACAATTAATTCTGTTATTAAACTTCCGAAACAAACACATAAAATCATCAACAGATGCATATCACCAAGTAGATATTGCTGAATTGATCTTTAGAGCTCCAATCCCTGCCCATTTTATGGGTATTTTTAAACTTATTTTTTTTTGTCAACCATTAAGCCCTAAAGCTTTACTCATGGCTTTTTAAAAGCGTCTGCTAGAGTTCTATTCAGCAATATATCTTCAAAACACACTCCTCGAAAAAAATTTTTGCAAAAAAATTTCAAAAATTTCTAAAAAAAAAATTGGACTTTGAGATATTCTGTGTACAGTAGAGGGTTAATAATTAATTCCTAATTAATTAATATTTTCTTCAACGTTTTCATCAAGTTTTTCCTAACATAACAATACCAAAACGACTATTATAGCATAAATGGTTATTACTCTGAAATTCACAATTGTATTCACAGTATTGTCAAGTTCAAGGTCCAATTACCGATTTTGATGACGTCATATCTCTTATTATTACTGCACAGACCACCCCCAATGCAAAAAAATTAAATTTTTTCGACGGAAATGCGCGTAGAACGGCGTAAACAATCCCATACGCGCATTTACGCGTTAAAATTACCATTAATTTTACGTTTTTTTTACATACAAAAAATCTCCATACCTCTGCCAACTATGGAGCAGTCGAAATCATATTTATCAAAACAACACAGCGCCAGGGATGGTCAGGGATAGTTAGTATGACTGAAAATACATGCTAAAACAATAACGAGAATATCGGTCAGAGACCGAAGACTTATCGATCGAAAGTTAGGGGATCCCCCAAAACAGAAACTGCGGTTTCGATTCGAAAAATTCTGCAAACCCGAACTGGATTGTTTTGATTAGTTTTCAGCCAATATCAGAAATGTAGGAAACAATAGCCAACTCCCCATGTCGTCGAAATACTACTCGAGGAAATACTTTTATGAAGAATTCTGCAAATCCGAACTATATATATTATATAATAACAATATATAATAACATATACATAATAATATAATGTTTTTTTTATAGAAGAGAAGAAGTAAAAGTGTTGAGAGTCTTTGGTAGTTTGAAAAGCATTGGCATGGAACATAAGAATGATCTACATTCTTTCCCAGGGATATACTATAAAATGTAGCAATTTTATCATTCTTGTTCTTGTGATATCATTATCTTTCACTGCGTCGTCGTGATCATCCCGCTGCATAACGCTGTTACTAAAACGAGTATTTTGAAATAGTACTCTTTATTTTACGCGTATGTTTCGACAGTATTTCCATATACTGTATATGGGTCGCGACCGAAAGCTGGGCTCAACAAATACCTAAAAGTTATTGATTTTATTTCCTAGTAAATTTGGTGCTTGCGTAGTTTATGCACCAAGATTGCGCACAACCTGAACATAGTATTGCAACAGGTTATGGTTCAGGTTGTGCGTCATTATTATGCACAGGTTTGACGAAAAACACTAATACAAATATCGAGCCGTAAAAAAAATTGCTCAAGGCTGCAAACTCCACACCCATGTAGAAATGATGGGCAATGACCCCAAGATGAATAATCACAAATCAAAAAAACTTTATGTCCGAAATCAAACTTGGGCCAAAAAGGTCCCCTTATCTGCCGGACTATAACACTGCTGTGTTATGATACACCTGCAAATCGACTGAACAATTCCATGCTTACCAAATGCCTATAATTCGTATTGCTAAATTAAGGTTATATCTCAAGCGGGATATATTGAACTTCTTTTCCTATATATATTGAGAATATATTGACCAAGTTAAATTTTTATTGTAGCATTTTTAATGCTGTGGTGAAATAAAGGGGTGTAATAGGTAGCACAATATTTGTGTTGCATTTGGGCATATGTTTGGAAGCAGGTTGGTTTCTATATATACATATGTATGTCGTCCACATTATGTAACAAGAACACGGCGTCACGATTATGCAAATAAGGCTATAGTCATGCACGCAACTGACTTGATAACTTGGAAAATAAACATTTTTAACAATTGGGACTGATTTGGAAATAAATGTGAGATGCATCACAGCAACATTCTATTTTTATGACATTGGTTAGATTATATAACGCCGAATCTTTCATATGATTGGTTCAAAATGTTTTGCAATTCACAACGTGATCATGTTGTCATAATTTAGGATTGTAATAAAATAAAATAAAATAGAGGCAAATGTACCATATGGTATCTGAAGAGTTTAATTGGCAGGATCGGACTTTGTTTGCCGAACATTTATACTCCGTAAAGGCATCTATAAAAGCAGAATGAGCATAAGACAACCCATCATTTTATTCGTCATTTGAAGAGAACAACACTCTTTTCAAGGTAAGACAATTTGTCTAAACTTGTATGTATTTGCATCAAGCTAATAACTTTTCTGATATTTCACAGATGAATTGGAAATTTCTGTTCGTTGTCCTTGTATTGGCGATGCTCTTGGCCGAGAGCCAGTAAGTTTTTTTTATATTATTTGGCAGTCCAAAGTGTAAATCACAGTTTCTGTAAACATATTTTTGCCTATATGATATGACCGCATGGTCGTATCGTTGCCACCCAGTCTATACCGAGAACTGTTTCGCTTTTCATTAATTATGTTTTTGTTGTGTATATGTTTTCTGGTGGACAAAACAAATAAACTCTCTCTCTCTCTATATTTACAATAAGTTTAATTGATGTTTCCACACCGTAACTTTTTATTGATAGGTCGTACAGATTCAAAAAACGTGGTCGTCGGGGTGGATGGCGCAGAAGGATTCGACGTTGGAGAAGAAGATTTGGTCGCTGGCGCCGGCGTTTCCGATTCAGGAGACGACACGATGAAGATGGTAAATATATCGATGAAATTTTACTTCACTGAATCCTTCTTTTAAACACAGTCCCAAAAAGTAACCATAGGCAGAAATTTGATATCGAAGGGATATTTATGAATTTGACTTCTGATCGCCAGATGTGGTTTTCTAGATGTCTTGGTTTTTTTTCGCATTGAATGCATTTCGTGCAGAACAACCCATTATTTCGATATCTGATTCTCAAAATTTTTCCATGTCTACCACCTCCCCCAATATGCAATAATATATATGTGTACGCTATAACTTGAAATAAACAAATACCGGTCATTTTAAGCTATAATAAGTACACCACTCATATTGTCTGACTAGAAGACTTCTTCGAGCAAATTTCCGTTTCGCATGACACAAATGCTATATTTGAAGAACGTATAATGTATTATATGCGCTCATAAAATTGTAGTTACAATTTTGCGAAATTTTCTTTCAGCTGCCCTTGTAACAACCCAACAACAACAAGCAAAGACCAGAGAAGACGCGATTGACGAGTTGAAATCGTTCATGGAGGACGAACCAGAAGTTGCCAATGACATGTTGATGCTTCTTGCAGAGTATATGAACGATGATGATGAGGGTGATGAGATGGACGGAGATGATTACTCGGAGGAGGATCCGGAATACGATGAATAAATGCATGCCTAAAATGGTAATCTAATTATATACGATTCACTCCCGTTTATAAATTTAACAATTTATTGAAATGTACCGTGTTAGTGTGGAAACGACTGTTTTCTTTATTGCTTTGGGCATTTCTTCAAACCCCCTGGAAAGTACGTATCCTTAACGATAAGACCACATCAATTATTATCTAAATCGTATAAATAATGTAGACAGATCCAAATGAGTAAAGTTTGTATATTTGACGTGATAGTCAAAACACAATAGTCATTCCCCAAAATGGCAACGATATTCACAAGGAAATTCACAAAAATCGATGCCAGCAATCCATTTGCAAACCATGTCAAACTCAAAACAGTGCATAACTATTGACCCGTCATTTCAGTTCCTGCACAGATATTACTAAAGCAATAGGTATTTTCAAACTTTATTTTTAGATTTCTTCTGTTCGACTTTTATCACACCCGGAATAAGGAAATATCAACTACAATAATTTTAAATTTGAGATCTAAAATCGAAATAAATTCAATAGTAGCATATATATATACCATTATTTATTCTTTTGATCAGCAGTGTTCAATTTGTACGCTGGGTGAGGGAAATAGAACAAGTTATTGAAATTCAGGTATACTGAAAAGTAGGCACACCAATTTTTTTCAATCCCATAAAATCGCGCAAACCGAAGGGAAAAGTTATATATCGATCTAACGACTGAAATATAGGAAAATGTTCGTCTACAAATAGGGCTCTTTTTGCTCAATTAATGATTTTATAAATTTGTAATGACTTTATAAAGTTTGAATCTTCAACATCGGTAGTTTAAGATCTAATAAGTATTTCTAGTGCACCCCATGCAGTAATTCCACGATAGACTAAATTGCATTAGGCTACTGAATAGCACCATTGGTTGGTTGTAAAGATGTAGCGCCGCGTCTCCCAGACAGCGGGCCGACTTTTAGCAGCTATGTTCCTCGTGAGGCACAAAACGTTCTAGTTGCACTTTCAAAAAAATTTTTGACACATAACGCTAATGAAAACAAATTCTTCTTTTTCAAAACACCACAAAAGATTTTACAGCACACACTTTTCCGCTGTAATGCAACTTAACTAACAAGAGGCGGCATTTTTTTGACTTAGAGTGTTTGCGTGAGTAATATATAAATTCTCTGTAATTGTTTTGATTGTTCAGTCGCTCAGCCTATGCGAAGAGTGTTAAAAAAGTGATCTGATATCTTTTTACTATGTTTTTATTGAAATACCCACGATTGCACTGCATCAAGACGATTTTTGATAAGGGGCCCTAGTCTACCTACCTGCAGGTAAACTTGGCCCTTCTGTCTGTTATCTATCCGGGCCACAATAACGTTTGCGTGCAAGCAGAGTGTGTCATGAAAAATTGTTATTTATGAAGAGATCTAACGCTATGTTATTTTATTACGCTATAACGTACGCCGACACCCACGTAGAACAGCTAAACTGGGCAAGTAGCTCAGAACGAGGAAGAGAGATATGCATACATTCACTTTGGTTAGATCCGTGATTCTAATTACCTCATGGGACACCACGCAACACATTAGGCTATATGAAAGGGACATGGCAATATACATCCCCGTGGTATTTTGAAGTCAAATTGCTTCTTTCGCGGACTCTCTCATTTTTTCTTATTTTACTTTCACGACCCTGGAGCCTAATGTAGTTTGATGAAATCATGTTTCAGATAATATTGCGCTTAATTTTCTTTGTTCATTATGATTATCCTCCACCCCCTGATTGAAATCCAGAACTCTTCACTGTTTTTGACACAATGTAGATACCAATATGATTTCGAAAATTGCTAGAACATGAGTAGACTAGGCCGGCCTCCTTCCTAAGGTCGTTTTAGGTTTGTGTTTAACGTTATTCAAACCCGCAATAAATATGACACGACACTTTTGTCTAATCGGCAACAGGCGTAGATTGCCTAAGGTTTGTACGATCACCATCCATATGCGGTGCCGGAAACATTCTATTCTGTGTTTTTGATGAACTAAACAAATATAAACATTTCGGTCACTGTAGGCCTAGTTTTTAAAGTATTATTATTTGGTTACTGCCGAAGTGATTTAAGTTGTGATTATTGAAATGAGAGTGATCGTATTATCGTTTGTCTGCTAACTGGAGAAAATTAGTAGCTTGAGCCCTTGAGTGAAGCCAGGTGAAAGCGGTTCTAAAATCAATTTAATTTGGCACACATGACATAATAAATTTGAATATCTTTTAAAAATGAAATTGCAGATTTGTCGGTCATTGTGAAAACATTTGCAGTTTATTTTTTTTTCTTAGTTCAGTTTTGAGATATTTTGCGTTAATAAAATCTTACAAATGTTTGCGTTCTTCAAGACGATAGAAATGCTACACATATCAGTTTGGCTCGAACAACAGTATATAAAGTAATCAATTTGTAACCATTGAATCCAGGAAGAATTATTACCGCGTGACATGACGAACGATCGGCCATCCCACGAAAATTCATTCTGATTCCAATTATGCGCCCGGGTTGTGGGTGGTGTGGCATCCTGTGGTGAGCCTTAGTACCAGTATGAACACAATTAAGAGAATACATGCTCACTAGTTCTAAGCAATTAAAAAAATATATTGATAGTCGATTTTTGTATGTGCCGTGTTTCATCTAACTTGGGTTGCGCGATATTTAGTTTCAATACAACTATTATCAAACCATACCCGACATCAATCCGAGCGTGAATGAAGTTATTTTCAAAACCAGTCATATGTGAAAATTGTCTTAGAAATTGTTCTTAAATTACCAACTACAAGTAGTTCAGGGTTTTTAGTGCACAGCTTGGATTATACGACTCGGTCTCGCGTGATCAAAACAGCCCTTAGATATCTTGAAATGATGTACTATATGTTAACGGAAGTTATTTCCTTATTCCGTGAGGTGAGTCGCATAACGCAAGCGGAGATGGATTATATGCGACAAGAAAGCAACAAAACGTTTAACTTACAAGTTATATTATAATTTATCGTAGATAAATAGTACGTGAGTTGATGCCTGGGTGATATAAGAGTTCATAGAAGTTGGGCATATACTAACAGCAGGAAATTTTTCACAGGCACAGAGTATTATAGTAACAGCCAACTATAAGATTGGAGAAAAATATAAAAAAGAGGAACATGTTTAGAATAACTATACTTGCTCACTACTTATTCAAAATTATATATACCGGTATATATATATATATATCCCCCTTTTTGAAAATGCGTGATCAAGTTTAATAAGACTGAGAGGGTGCGGGGCCAAACTCTATAGTATGTCCGGAATCCAGAAGCAAGTCGAATACCCGAATTTTCTCTTCAAATTTAGCAAAATTAAATTGTAGAATAAATAAAATTTCATTCGTAGTCTACAGACAAAAGGTATTTTTACAGCCATAGAAAATTAAAGGCATTTCTACTCAAAATATCGAATATCTGCCAGACCATATTCATACGAAACTTCCAAGAAAGGCTACACTCGTTTTCGAATACCCTTGATTCGCGTATTCAAAAAAACATAAAATGAATGGAATACTTCGTGATTTGAGTTTCTTTTCTAATTTTTGAATCATCTGGCTCAGTGTAATAATTTACCGAATAGTTTACTCAATACAAGACATATGATATTGTATTTTGTTGGCCTAAATTAAATATGACATACACGCACCAATAAGTTGGATAGGAGTATCATATCTTGTTCAAAATATGAGCAACAAAAGTTCTACACTCTCGATTTATGACAACAAGGTGGACACGACATCCGACGATGACAACTCAAGTAATTGTTCACAAGGTTTTGGAGAGTATATCATTCAAGGCAGCGAGGATGAAAAAATTCAAGTGGAGAAAATTAAAGAAGCAATTGCCATGAATGGGAACGAAACTCCACCAGGATATAGTTACACAGAATTTGACGAAATGAAAGATACCACAACGCATTCTGATGATGAATATCAGACAGAAAAGAAAAGTGTGAATAATCCGATTGTCGTGAATAGGAATTCTGCTGATCCTACAGGTGATGCTAGGGCAAGCAAGACCTCTTTCAAAATGCAAGCCAGATTGTCAAGAAGTAAGTACAATTTTGGTTTACTAAATAAATATTCTGTGAGAATAAACTTTGACAAGGGAAACTGTAATCCTCACACTAGACGTGTACAAAAGTAGCACAGAGAACTATAAAAATTTCATTCCATATCTCGACTAATCATACATAAAAAAAGTTATACCAATGGTTTCTACATTGTACTTCCTGAATGCAATTTGTTGCTCAAAATAGCCCTTTCAAACGAAAAATTCTCAAATTCACGTTTTGAACGCGTTGAAAACAACTATTCCAGGTTCGTCACAATACAAGGCTGCGATCGACGCTTTAAACTTTAGCCATTGACGATCCAACGTTACACAGAATATTCCATGAGTCGTGCAAGGAAATAAAATAGTACGCATAAATGATTTTGAAAGGGCTACCATACTGAACACAAACAAAAGAAAATTATATGTATTGGATGCTCCTAGAATTTATTTATTTAATTCTTACAAGTGTGTGTACTCATCTAAACATTTTATCAGTCATCTAACATTGGGGATACAGGAATAAAACGTTTCAACGGAAAGTTTACATATGCGATATGCTCATGTCATATAATTCAGTTATATTTGCTTCTTAGATTGACAAGTCGTTCATTCAGAAATATTTGGAAAATGAAATAAAATTACAATTTTTCTGCCTCTCTGTGTAATTTAAAAATCTGTATTTCTTTTTCTAGTGCTAGAGAATGCAGATACATCTTCTTCGTCTGATGATGAACTCTATACATATACCCAAGACGGCCAGGTATTATTTTTCTACAAACCTGCTAAAACGTAATGAATTAGTGCATCGATTTTCGTATATTTATGAATTAAACGAAACCACCTTTAGGCACATAAAAAACTAGTGATAAAATTTGAAGATTATGGAGAAAAAATATAAAGAATACCCTGTAACAATCATTTCTTTTTAGGCCGTTTTATTTATTGTCGTGATGTCAAATCATGAAAATTCGGCCCCACAATATAATTATGCTTGTATTTGTATACAAGCATTTGTATATTTTTTATATTCGAACCTATGACCAAATTCCAAAGACTAATGACGAGAGCGTTTTAGCCAGCTAACTGATGCATAGGAGTACAGTTTTTCCAAGCGGTCGACTCTGTGTACTCACTGAATAGGTGAGGTAAAACCAAAGCCGCGGCAGAATTTGAGAAAAATTGGATTTGTTAGGGCCTAGAGGACAATCTATAGTAGATATATATATATTTACTGAATATGTAGGCCTACATAATAATATTCGGTCGATACGTAAACATGGAATCTTGTTTTCTTCGACTCGATTCCTTTAACAAAAAGATTAACTCAGAGGAAGATCTAACAGCGTTAGAGGAGAATTTACAGAAGTACACTGCTGATATACCGTCTGATCCATTGGGAACATCAAGACAAGAACGTATACCCATGCATGTACCATCGAAAGGCATAGACCCTGATGCGCTCATTGACGTGAAATCGCGTTTGAAGAAAGTGAAAAAGACAATTTCGGGTAAGTTTATTTATGTACTTTACTATTATATACTACTATTAGCTCGATATACATATATATTTATATACAATTTTGCCCAATAGTATACTTGAGGATAATAAAAATAAATATTTTAAAATAAACAAGCCAGGATTTTTGGCGTAGCTTTGCTACAAATTGTGAGAGAGAATTTAATAACGCTGATTTTTTATCAGTATAAATTTTCTCATACACGATTCAATCGTAACAAGGGGGTGGTTATGTGAAAGAGCAAAGTCCAGCGACAATTTGGGAATTGAAGAAAAACAAACGCGATGCAAAACTTTTGTTGAACAAAGCACAGGCATCGAAGCTGAAAGCTGGATGGAAAGTCAGGCAGTGTTTGCACAATTTACCTGAGTACGTACCAAATTTTTTTCATATTAGACCAGCCACTAATAACTGCAAAATACTAGTTATTTTGCTGTATAACTGAATTTACTTTAAAACCCATCATCTGGAGGTGTTTAATTTGTTCGATATCGCATATAAAATGCATGCAAATAGTCGACAGTAGGCTACCGTAGATAATACTGAGACTATATGTAATTTTCACGTTGAAGTTGAAAAAACGATCACTGTTGATTTACATTTAACACATTATTTAAATTCAATTCTCACAGGGGAGAGACTGTGAACACGCTGTATCTTACACTTGTGAGAAAGGGAATGCTGAAGGAGGTCGACGCTCTATTTTCCCTCGCGAAAGTGGCGCGTGCGGCTAAACCACTCAATAAAAATTTCAAAGATGCAGACGAAAAATCGGCATTAACAATTGCCATAGACAACAAAAATGAAACGATGATGACACGATTGTTAGAACACGGGGTAATGATTTCATGAAGTCTTGATCAAAAAAACTAGCAACTGTCCAAAATATTCTACTGACTAATTAGATACTATTTGTGTTCGAAGTGATCCAACCTATTCTCTCTAAATGTAAACAGAACCATTTTATTTCTGCATTTCAGCCTATGATCATTATAATTTTCTACTTAACAGAAACTAAATATTGCTAAATAAATTTTTTCTAAGGTAAAACTGGACTTGAACATTTTCCACGCCGTCGAAGCAGATTTTATTGAAGGAATGAAGATATTGATGTTGTATGATCCTTGCACGCAGGCTAAAATTGCTGAAGAAAATCCTTATTTTCAAATTGGGATGACTCCGATGTTGTTGGCGGCTCATAATAACAACTACAGGATGTTATCATTGCTGCATGAATACGGCCATCAGTTACCGGTATGTGACGTCGACGTTGTTTTGTTTGTGTACGTATTAGGTAAACCCGCCAGTGCTGGGGATTTATACCAACATAAATTCGGTGACGGATTTTTATAGTGACTGTATGATACTCATACGGGGATGTACGCTTTGTGACAAGGTGGAGTTCGAAGCCTGGACTTCGATTGAAAAAATCTCTGAGTCAAAAATATCCAATATTATTTCAGCAACTCAAAGACTGGAGTGAAGGCATCCAAGAAGCATGGGAATCGGCTAATGAAAGAAGAATGATTTGTGAAGCAAGAGCACAGCCCGCATTCATCACATTAACTACGGAAGTAAATGAGTTTCAAAAAACTTCCGTATTATCTCATCACTATTGTCATAATATATATACATTCATATCCAATATTACAAAATACGTTCTCTATTATTCCAATATACTGGCTGTTATTTCCGTAAATAAATTTTCCAATCTTCAGCAGTTTATGCACCTCATGCCTTGCTTCCGTCATTCATAATGGTCTCTCGTAGTTGGTCATTTTGGTTGTAATATGTAATTTATTGTCTATCAATTGCCTATATTTTAGTTAAACAGGATGAATCCAATGAAGTACTGCATGCAGGAAATTAGAAAAGTACGAGTTTATGCAAAACAGGAACAAGAGTTCAGTAATTTTTATAAAGGAATCATTTCCAAAATTGAAGATTATATGTGCTCATTACTCGATTTTGTAAGTTACTTCTTTGTTTTGTATGCCTACCTCGTAGTTTTTACATAGAATTTGTTACTAATTTAGATGGAAATCATCTCATTCAGCACTATTTTTTCGATGCTAAGAATTCAAGCGATGACGGATACAACATTAATAGTTTTTTGAGATTTCATTTTAGAGAGTCATAAGCTCGAAAAGACATTGGCAAACTTACATTAGCTTGTAATTGCATTAGTCGAATGAAGGTTAACGCATCTCATGGTGTTGATATTTCTCATTAACCACGCTGCATTTGTGTCTGATTTGAGTTTTGATACTTTAAATTATTTTGATTATGTGACCAAGCGGAGTTATTTGTCGAATAAAAACTGTTATAACTGCTATAAACCATTTATAGTGGGTGGAGTATGTTTATACGAACTGGGAATCATTATACCGTTGATAAACATCTGTATTAAACCAAAGTTTTCTGTTTTAAGATTTGTTCTTCGGAGGAACTAGCAAATTTGTTTCAATTCGAATACTTATCACCCTCCCTCAAACCGCAAGATAAGTTGAAACGTTTTATTGAAAGTACAAGAACAAAAAGATATGAACTTGAAAACCGGTTTAAATTATTGGAACGTGCAAGTAAAGAGGAATTAATTCGTTTTGTAACACACCAGCAATCTCAGGTAAAATAAATAAATACATATATATAGAGAGAGATTTTGGAGTGATTTCCTTATTCTGTTTGTTGTCTTTCTCTATGTCCCTCGATAAAACACATTTATTTTATAATTTAAATAGATACAGGTTTGCATGAATAACACATGGATTAAGTCTCGTATCACACGTGTGGTAACTACATATTTTTTTTATTCTGTATAAAATGGACTTACTGAACTTGTAAAAGATTACTAATCGGGATTGAATTGATAAGTAGCATTTTAATATAACCCATGTAGTTACTTCATGTAAGTTACGAAGCTGAAAGATTAATGTCCTCGTCTCACGAACAAATGGTTATTTTGGTAGGAATACTTTTATACCATATCATCACCGCCAACTCTGCAGTATCGTCCATCAGTTCCTGCATATAAGCGCTCACTTTTTTAACGCAGAACAGAAGTAAGGCAAGACATCTTAATTTAAACTTCAAGAAATCAATAAGTTGTCTACCGTTTGGTGTTTTGAATATTATATCCACAAATTCGAACTCTCTCTACATAATCTATACTTAGGCTTACCATACATCCCGTTTTTAGCGTCTTGTCCCGCCAATTCAGCCAAAAGTCCCGCTTTGGCGTTCAGCCATCCAGCATAATACACGTACATTGCCAATTAACATGTTCTCGTTACTGCTGTTGCTTTGTAGCGCAGCGCTTGCCTACTTACTGAAGGTGAATGCGTTATTTTGTTTGTTTCATTGTTAGCGAACCTATCACATGTAAAATCAATACTAATTGGTCCAGCTCTGACTTTTACGTGAAAGTAATATTGAACAACGTCTTTTTGAAGACGGTGTTATCTACAGAAGAGTATGATTAGGCGAATAAGTAAATTCTCAGTGCTTGGAAGCCTCCGACTATTTTATTATATTTTCTTCCTTTTGTTGTAGATAAAAAATCTAAATTCGAAATATTTTGTATCGTTAACGTCAATTCCTTTATATTTTTCGAACTGAACCCAATATTTAGACAGAAAATATGCACATAAACTCTCGATGACAATATAGTCAATGAAGACAGCCGGGATTGCTTTAAATGTAGGGCTGTAGGCCTTTGTAGTAAAATCGGAAAATGTAAAGTTACAAAATCACAACTTGGGGGGGTTGTCTTTGCAGGCATCCCGCTTTGAAGTCACAAAAATATGGTAACCCTATCGATAAGAAAAATTACTTTATGTATGTTTTCAGCTCGCACTGACTTATCTACGTTTTCGATCGTTGCCATTTTTGCAAAATAACTTTATCTCAATACCCATTGGATTGCTCTTTCCTGTTCTATCACTGCTCTACGTCTTCGCACCAAACACCGTTCTCGGAAGTACGTATTTTCATGCAAGTTTGTTGAAGACATGATATCAATTTGATGTGTTACAGTATAATTACCGAATACATGCCTGTAGTGTTGAATATATTTGTTATTGCATTTTTTTGCTAATAATATACGGGGTGAGCACTTAATCAATACAGCTCGGCAACAAACCATTCTAGCAAAAGTGTTGGCTTATTTTATGTGAATGGGAGAAGAAGCTTGGGGACCTATTGGACAAGGTTACCTTCACAGGGGCTTTTTTTTCATTGACGATAAAAATGAATAGAAAGATGCAATATCATATCCATTGAATATCGGTTTGTTCATTCTGGGATTATGATGTAGACCATAGCGAAATAAACAAAAAAATAAACAATGAATCCACCAACTATATTTACAGGCATCATCACACTTCCAACGATATCATTCAATTGTCATATGATTTCGGATGTTGTTTTTGCAATTTTACTTCTCCTAAAAATTGCTCTGAAGGATGTTGATCAAGATCGCTTGGGTAAATGTGACATCCATTGCTGTGTATTGAACTTCGGGACCTCCTGAAGTATGCGCACCAATATGGCGCACAACCTGAACTCAGGTTGTGTAACAGGTTAGGGTTCAGGTTATGCGACATCTTGGTGCGCATACTTCAGGAGTACCGAACTTCGAATATTCTTTTCTTTTAGTTTGTTTTTTTGAGTTTGAGATTGGTTTTCATATTTATTATTTTATCAGGTGCTGGCCCCACCACTGTAGAACTCCTAATATTTATTTGGATTCTCGGAAAGTGGGTTCAAGAAATGCAAGAGTGTATAAACAGAGGCCTAAAGGAATATCTACGTGATAAATGGAACTACAGTGACCTTCTGATGCTTCTTTTATTCTCAACAACTATTGGGATTCGGTATGAAATAGCTGCAGTTGAAAAAAATTTTCAGCAATTTTCATAAGACTTCATTGAAAAGATAAAAGACTATCGTGTCTAATCATACACAATTATATTTCATAAGATTTACCTTATTTTCGGCATGTAAAATGGCGTCATTGATTCTCAATAATACCTGCAAGAAATAAGCTAGGCTATATCTATATCCCGATTACCGAGACGTCGGCCCACAAACTTCGTCAGAACAGGACAAATTTAACGTTGAATGTCAAAAGCGGCAATTTCAACCTGCAACGAGCGATTCATTGTTAGTTTTCAACGAAATAAACCAAAGTTTCTGTGAAAACACGTCTACAACATTGTCACAAAGTCCTAAAACAAAAAATATTGGAGGTATTCGATCACCCCTTGCTACAAGTTGTAATCAATCACAAAACGAACATTTGCATCAATTTTTCTTATTCAAAATATTTATATTGGACAGGATATTTGACATGGTTTACAATAAGGACGCATCTACATCAATTGAACGATCAGAATGGAACCATTTTGAGCCTAGACTTATAGCAGGTGGATTGAATGCGTGGGCATATGTGTTTTTCTTTATCAGATTACTTGGGCTTATGAGAGTAGATCGAACACTAGGTAAGATATATTATTGCGTTTTATGGTTTGCACGATCTCAAATACAGTACGATAATTCATTAAAAAAAAACATTGTTAACAGGACCACTGCAAATATCTCTTGCAAAAATGCTGAACGATATCATACGATTTCTCTGCATATTTACCCTGGTTATATTTGCATTTGCCTTCGGATTAAGTGATCTGTACTGGTATTACGGAACGAAAGAAGGTTCGAAAATGTTTTGCGCAAAAGGAGTGAATACGGCAGGTGAGCGTTCATAATTGTGAGATGAAGAGCGATTTTAATCCGGTATACCTAATAATTTGAACTGCATCACCAATATCACTAAAATGTTGCACTAGACCAGAGTTGGTATCGAGGCGTTTCCCCCCAAAAAAATAAAAACATGAAGGCGATGAGGGCATCATAATATGGACTAAACCAAGGGTGTGCACTGTGCAACATTATTTGTCGTTGGGCCATATAACCAACTTCAATGAATTGATTAAAAAATTAGCGACAACCAGAGCGCCACGGGAAAGGCAAAAGAATGCTGTTATCACTTAGGCTTCCAGTAATAAAGGCACCGAGACCTGGCAGAACGGCGGGAGAAACCTCAAGGTTTTGTTAGCTTTCCTGATTCAATAATCGTTTTTTGCTTGTTTTTATCAATTATTTTCATCGTCTGTAATGGCAAATTCAACATATTATATATATATTACAGTTCGGAACGGATCATGCATTACAAATATCCCACCTTTTACCACCATGCCTGGTGCAATTACTCAATTGTTTTGGGCACTCTTTGGTTTATTTGAACTTAACAGCATGTCACTGGACGGAAAGCACACATATACGGAATTTGTAGGTGAGCCATAAAGTGTTATCCACTTCGAAGGAATGTATTTAAATCAGTAGGGATTTGAATCGGCAATAGAAATATTTGTGTTTAACATAACCTAATCCATCATATTGGGTACGATTAGGGTCGATCTAAGATCGTTATCACAGGATTAAAGCTGTTTGGGTTAAAAAATTGGTAAAACGAGTCAATTTGTCATATGCCACGTGCTTTTAACTGTCGTAAAATGAGACTGCAATATTTTGTAATTAGTTTCTCAAAAATTATTTTTCCGTGGTACGATAAAAGACGTGTGTCTAATGGCAATCTCTAGTCCTTAGGAGTTTTTCTCTTCTGATCGCTAACTTGGTATAATGTTTCAGGGAAAACTTTGGTAGCAACCTATCACGTCGTTGCAATTATAGTGATGTTGAACATGTTAATTGCTATGATGAGCAATTCGTACGATGATACAAGAGAGAATGAAGAAACAGCCTGGAAATTTCATAGAACATCCATGTGGATACGCTTTATTCGCAGGGAAGTTGTTCGACCTCCTCCTATGAATCTGTTTCCCAACCCTTGGCGAATACTAGAAAATAGTAGACGATTCAGAAACTTCGTTAGACGAAAAAACTGCTGTAAAAATCCATTGACACGAGCTATATACGACATCAGGGGTAGGCGAGTAAACAGGTCTCGTTCAATCAATGAGGTACCGGTATTAAAAACAATGGGAAAAGGAGTCGGCGATCAAGAAAAAGTTGAATTGACTGGTGTGAGAAACATCAATGACAGAAGACAATTTGTCGATGTTGATGGGAAAACGAATTCGAGGCCAAACAAAATTAGAAGCAGAAATGAAGGCTTTACTATAGAGGGCCTTGAAGAAGCTAGAAACGCCGTGGCTGCTGTTTTTAATATTAAAGGGCCAAAAAGCGTGTCAATGCGACTTGTTCGTAGATATAAGTTGAAGCATCTCGTTAAAAAGCGCGTTGTTGAATCTCCTTCGATTATTTAATATATGTATAATAACTAATCAAATGTAAGTTATAATATAATTTTGTGAATATGATACTTCGGGACTGTTAACAAACAAATAAACAGAGTAAATTACAAAAAATACCATCTCAAACTAGTATACATTCTTGATTTATCATGAAGGCGGAGGGCCGAAAGGGCACTGTGGAGTCCGGAAAAAGTTCCAGCTGGAAAGAACATGAAACGCAGCTCTTCGAAACCCGAGAAGCTAAGAACGTTGTATGTAACTATTAAGCTTAGACGAGTTGAGGCTGAACATGCTTTTTCAGCTCCTTGACTACTTCGCAAACACAATCAGAAGTCAACTGAATGATAACAGCTTTGATATTTTCCTGTTTAGGAGTCAATATTACATGATATAAACGAGTGTGCTTCTCAGCTTGTGTGTGTATTTTCACAAATTTTATTTCAACTTTAGTCGCGAAATCCTAATTCTACTTAGTATTGTATTTTATGATGACTCTGTTACAGAATCCCCCCGAAACGCAGTGTATTTACCCAGAAGCAAGTATACACCAGGTCACATTTGTTGAGGAGGTTCGATTCCCAAAAGATTCAATATCTGTAACATTGCATTTCTGGTGGCTTTTATCAAATAAATTCTTGCATGTAACGCAGGTAAAAGATGAGGTAGATTTTGACCCAAGATATGATGACGAGAATAGAACGTACTTACAGATCTGCAAAGCTGCTGCAGATAGTCGATGACCTGGACAGAGAAAATAAAAGGTAAGGCTACAAAAAGGATTTAATTAAACGAGATGTAATCTAAACATATGAAGCTACCATAGATTGAAAGATAAAAATCTGCCTTAGGAATGTTAGAATGTATAGCATAACTAAGATGATTACCATTAAAGAAATGGTTGATATGTTGAACTGGCGAAGTTATGCAAGTAACACCGCCTAACGCCTAGTATGCAAGCTAGCTGACAAAAACAAAAAAGAACCCTATTTGCAAGATCCATTTTGAACGTGTTGAAGAACTCACAGATTTATACTCAGAATCTCAATAGCTGACAAATTGAGCCCCAAAAGTACGCAGACTACTACAGAAATGCTGAAACAACGATAAATAGTGCACGAATACTTACATTATGACATGATATTTTAATAACATTGCGACCAACTGTTATAACGGGTTTGCTTATAACATCAAAAAACATCCAAAGATGATCAATAAATAATTCCCATTCTGCATCCTCTACTAGACTTGCAAGTTGGAGTTCACTAAAGGATGGCAGAGGTGGGTAATACCCTGATAAAACAAGAGAGCAATGTTCGAATACATGTATATGATGATATTGAATGGTCTTCCAAAAGTTGGCACAGAGACGGTTCTTTCCTGTGTTGACATAAGGAATTCTGAATTGGAGGTGGTATTATGAAATACCTACCATACATGTGGGTTTACCAAAGTTTAATTTACCTATAATATTACCAAACACACTTACGTATGCTAGGCCTACAGATAATATAATTATTATAATATCATTATCCCACAGGTGACATAATAATAAACACGAACTTCCTTATTCAACTCAGTTAGACATAAAAAATAGGTATATGACGTTAAATAAAAAGGATAAATTACCTTCTTTTACTTTAGTCGTGAATGTATTCAGTAACATATTCAATCTTGAGAAGTTATACAACATGAACATGACATCTGTTGGTAATGTAGCCCTTTCTGTGGATATTTTTAATCGATTTGTTGGTGAACTCTTCAAAAATTCTAGTCTTATTGTAGCAGCCGTCATTTTATCAACTCTATTTTCCCAGTCTTTACCTAAAATAAGAACAGTACTCAATTGGGAACCAGCATTTGAACACACCAATTTTATCTTCATGAAAAACTGTTCGATAAACGAAATAAAAAAACGTAAGATGATTTTAACACAATGTACAAGTTTGAAGATGATACCCTCGTCTTCCAAACACTGCTAGTTTGCTAACCTCAACATGAGTGACCACTTTGAGATAAAATATCATTAAACAGGAATCTGGACACAATAATTCATGGAGGGACTCCACGTCATTCAAATTGCACTCACCTTTTACACTTATTTGAAGTTTAGTCTCAAAAGCATCTATTATCTGTTTTTTTCTCATTCTGATAAAATCAATTGCTTTTCGAGTTTCATTCACACCAGCATGAACAAAATATTTATCTGAATCGCTACAGATTGTTTGAGCAGATTTCTTTGACACATCGCTGGACCATGCATGATGAAGTTCTGCTTGACGAGCTGACATTTCATTTTTCTGATTACAAACGTGAAAGCAAGTCTTTGCATTTTGTCGGACAGTATTAAATATCGCATTTTTATGTGTGTTGGCAATTCTGGATTCGAAAGCAGTTTTATTTTCTTGATTTCGTAAACTAGATAAACAAGGAAACGAATCTTTTTCTTCACTCAGAATGCAATCTAAAAAACGTTGTGGAACATCTGATACAGTAGTATTTTTTGTGATGTCTGCTGCATAGTCTTTATATGAATTATTGCACATAAGGCCGAGGTCTAGATTCTTAATAACATCGCAACATGTTTCATCATCACATGAAAAATGGATCAATGATTGATCACACTTCAATGCCTTTCTCACAAACGAACAATATAATAGGGATCTAATGTCGTTTATAGTTAGTTTCTGCTCGACATGACAAAATAATAAAGTGCTATTACTTTCCAGTCCAAACTCATGCCTGATAGGTAAAATTTCAAAATCTACTATTTTCGGAAGAATGCAAGTGAATGCTTTCACTTTATCCAATTGAATTCTGTAGCTATCTCCCTCTTTCCACCATGAAGATATTGAAATACTCCATTTTTCACTTTCATTTTTAATAAACTTCAAACCGTCTTCCAAAACAGTATGGAACCTTTCTGAAAATGAGGTAAAACCATGCAACAAGTCAACAATTTTGCTTGACAAAATGAATCCACTTTGTCTCTTTTTTGATGCATGCTTTGTTCGTTGTACAAGACACACATTTAACAATATGGTTTTCTCAAATTCATTAGCAATGTAGCGTACAAGTTCATCTGAAACTTTATGACAGAAAGCCTCACGACTATATTCTTCCATAGCAATTACATTACAGAAAATTTAATCTCCGAGCCGTATTTATACTGGAAAGAAAATTCCACAAGGTTTTAATGTTTAAAAAAAATATTATCTTGGAAAAAAACAATGATTCAAACTGAATGGTAGAAAACAGAAAACTCGATTATTGTGAAATATATAAACAGAGTGTTGTTTGTAGCATTTAACAATCTATTTTGTATTTGATGGAGACAAAAGCAAGAAGCTGAAAATGACTTACTTTAAGCTGAGTAAAATGAAGATATATCATGATTTTGTGATGCAGGAAATAAGTTGACGGTAATATCAAAAATTTAAAACACTTACATATGCTACTGCAAATTAGTCAAAAAATATCATGCTTTTGGGAAATGCAAGTAAAATCATGGAAATATAATACTGATGAAATTGTATATTGTGACTTCAGACCAACTGTGTCCGATTTTTCGCCCGATCATAAATAAATTGGACAAAAATGATTAATTAGCTATAAATATTGCAACATGGATTAAATTCTCGTTTGCTCTGTTACAAAATAAATTCATATAATTCAAATATATTCAAAATATTTCATTACCCGGCAATGGCAATCATGAATATATACCGTATTTGCTCGTTTTGTAGCCGGCCCATCATTGAAGCATGGGCGCTTGTTATTTTTAAAGTAAAATTATAAACAAAATATATTGTCATTTCCAGTTCTAAGTATGATTTAAACGAGAATAACGAAAATTTTAACTTTTGGACGCCTAAGGCGTGAGTGTTATCTACCAGCGCTTAAAAATTCAACAGCGTTGTGACAAAAGCACTTCTTATTTCCTATTGTTTTCCACCACTGAAAAATCAGCTTTTACATCGGGCGGGTATTCGAGCACCGGCCCTTATTTATTTTTATGTTCTGTTCACACAGGCGGCTATTCAAACGGGCCCTTAATCAAGATCGGCGGGTGAAACGAGCATATACGGTATACACAAACACATATAATTACGAAGATATTCATAGACGTTGACATTTTGGACAAGACTTAATTAACATTAAACAACTTTTGCTATTCTTTACTTGTCTACAAGGTATTTCAATTGTTCATAATTAACACCATAAAGACACAAAACAATGAATTGAAAAATACAAAAATTACAACTAGACATCCAACAAAAAACAATATACCATACTTTTGAAAAATACAAAATTAAGGAGTAACTTATTACATAAATTAATGCAATATTAGAGAAACGCATATTCTCCATCATAAAACATTTCATATTATCCATTGCTAAAATGAAATACATATCATCATTATTTATGTCCATTTGCATATAATGAATCTGAGTAATTTTTATCAATATGCTTATCCCACACTAATCCATCTCCAATAGGTGACATATTACGTGGAAGAATCACATTCAAAAAGAATGATCTTAAGTCGTGAAACATTAAAATCATTTTCCAGTTGTTGCGAAATCCTAAATGGTAGGGATTGTTGAATTTCAATCCAAGTTTTTTTGCTTTGCGAAATTCTTTATCATTGATGAGTTTTTCGATACTTGTTTCTCCAAGACTAACCAATCGAAACTGAATTGCAGTTAAAGCACCAAGGGCGGCCGTTACCCCAGCACACAAAAACCAAAGAAATATCAAATTGCCTTTTGCTCCTGAATTGGCAGTGTAACAAACACTATAAAGGTATTGGAATATTTCACCAGTGTCTTCTGCAGATTTTCCATGTCGAGCAACTGGAACTACATGAGAAAAAATTTCTATTTTCGGGTGTAAAGCATTACTAATATCTTTTTTGTTTAAACTTGAATGATTTTCATTTATATAATCTAAATTTTCATTCTCATCATCAGAAATATCCTCAATAAAAAAATCTTTTAAATAATCCATGGCGAATTGCATTCTGTTATGAAAACTAAAACATTCTGTGAAAATTGGCCATGTTGTTGTTACCACAAATATGGTACCAAGTAACATGAATATACAAAATGATATAAAATATCGATGGTTATAATGACCCACACAATTATTGATCCATGGACAGTGATGATCCATTTTTAAAACACAATTTTTGCAAACACTGCAGTGATGTGCTCTTGGTGGTTTTGGCAGAATGCATTTTTTGCATACAGATGTTACTGCTCTCTCTGAAGCATCTTTGGGTGGTCTTCCTGGATTGGTACGGACTGCTTTAAAATAATGAAAACTAATCATGATTAGAAGATAATGTCCGTAGAAAATAGTTATTCCAGCTCGTATTGATGAAAATGCTAAGATGAGATATGGTACTGCAATTGAGTAATAAACCACAACAACATATGCAACCAGTATTGTTACCAATGTAACAAAGGCAAAACCAAACCATCTTGAAATAAAATCCACTAGAGTTATGATGGGCTCAAAAAGGACTTCTGTTGCAGATGAATAGGTGTTATAAGTCAATGATAGGTAACATAGTTTCAGATATCTCCATCTCAATTTTATTCCGGAAAAATCTGGACGTCTAAAGTGAATCCTCATTGTGATGGAACATCGACTATTTACAAGGTACTAACTAGTTCAGCATTATAAATTAGCCTTAAAAAACCCATAATAAATCTACAGAAAAATGAAAATAGCATTAGATGAACATTGTCATACAAAAACAACTGTAGAAAATGGAATTTTGTCAAAGAAATCAGTATTGAACTAGGTGATACATTGTAAGTACCCAATACTGGCTAAAACTGACCAGTTCAAAAAAACAAGTACCGGTAGTAGAAATTCTTCATTCATTTACTACAGCATTTTATAAATACAATCAATCTACAGAAAAGGGCGGAATGAATAAATTAAATGGCAAAAATGGTTTGTTAAAGCAAAAAAATGATCCCCAATAAAGGCGTTAACGATGACCAAGTTTATAACAAAATTACTAGATGAGATTTTTTTTGTATTCTGTAAGTATATTTCAAGGAGAAATAAGTAAATTCCCTTCAGCAAACTGTTTATTTATACACTGTAATCAGGTAATCAAATAGATTCATTCAATTATCTAGTAGATTGTTCAGGTGATTATGGCAAGTTGCAATGTCATTTCCTGAGAGGGATATTTTCAATATGCTGATGGCATCGTATTTATATTTAGCTGCAGTTTGGACTAGTGGTGATGTGATCTTTTGAACTCTCCACCCACACACATATAGTTGGGTGGAGTCTTGCTTGGTTATCAAACATTCATAAAAACCTTTACTAGGTGCCATATTATTATCTGTCAACCCTTTTCTCCAATATTGAGATTAATAAAAGGAAGATAAAAATTGAGAAATGGAATGGAGCAAAAAAAAATCAAATATGTTTAATTAACCAGCACATTTTCCAAGAGATGGTAAACCTTTAATATACGAATGACCAAGGTCACACTCACATTTATACCGGTACAAAATGCATTTAAAAGATCAAAAAAGCAAGTACTGTACATTTCTCATTTACTTTTGTGTAAATGAAGGAAAGATTTACCACAGAAAGGCGACTGATACTGAATTCCTAGTTTTTCAAATGCTCTCACTGGTATTCCTACATCAATCATGTATAAAGCACCATATTTTGCTGAAAGTGAAAAAGGCAGTACTGCACACACAGACCATTTTATATGCAAATCTGGAGGTAATGCAGCTGGTGGAGAGAGACACATTAAAGGAGCTCGATTTTCATTACACCAACGAACGGAATGTTGATACCAAGATTGCTGATATAAAAATTCACAATCTTCTTCATCCATCGCAGAAATGATTAAATCAACAGGATTTGTAGGTAATTCAGAATATTCGCTAATAACAACAGCATCTGTTAGAGACAATAGTCTTAATTCTTCTTGTAGGCAAGCATGTATTTTAACAAAATTGGGCATGAACACATTCACTTTTACATTATGATTTGAAAGATGCCTCGCTGTTGCAACACCTTGAGCACCTGTTCTATGAGGCCCACACATTACAACTGCAGATGGGGGCTGATGTGAATTTCTTGGATGAAGCCTATTACAGCCACCCAATACAGATAGAGCCATGAGACTTGCATTAGCTCCAAATATTTCAGTTTGTCTATCCATTCCGAAACCCATGAGTTCAGCGGCATGCAATATTTGTATATAGGTATCATTTGAAATAGTGGGAACTACAAGTCCTGCATCTGTGTAATATTCTGAAACTTCGTATTTGGTCACCTCATTTGTTATTATTTGTCGGTATATTACAGGCCCTTTTTGTAGAACGAACTCGTCATGCTTGTATTTCTCTTCAACCTTTCTATGTCTTTGTTTTGATGGAGTTCTCATACTTTCTCCATCACTTCCAGAGTTTATCTCATTGTATACAGCAAGTTTATCAAAAAGAGCAAGATTCTTGACAAAATCGAAATCTTCAGTCATATCTTGCGGGTTGTTATCAAACGTATCGTCATCCCGATTATATAAACCCTTCCGTACTTTTGAATACTTTTTCCCACCTTTATACTCCGAGCCAGGTTGTGGTGAACTAGAATGCATTGGTATTCTATCTGTAATACCAACTTGTCGGCTTTCATTGTTTTTAGGCCCTTTTTCTTTTTTTACACTTGATAACCCAATTTTTGAGGATTTCTTATCCTTAGTTTCCAATGTTGAAAGAAGGCCATCAATGATGGTGATTTCTACGATATCAGACGACGGAATTGTCATCTCATTATGTGGGCATTTAAAACCATTTCGATATGGATTGGAAATTGTAATTGTTTGTGATTTTTGGTCTACTTCTTTCACGATTCCCTGACAATGACCTATTACATCCCCACAGTTTATTGTAACATTGGAACCAACGTAAGATGTCATGACTTTCGGTTTCTGAACACTGGAAGAGAACTATAGGGCCTACAAAATCAATGTATCCATCAAATGATCATGTAAATGAAAAAATAACATTCCCAAGTTCAATCAACCAATTAAAGTATATTCAAATATTATAATCATATACCGGTAAAGCATTAGGCTATAGGAAAAAGAAAAAAATCCAAAACGTAAAAATGCATATACAGATATTGAATAACTATGTCTGTGTTGTTATCATAAAATACAGTACATCAATATTTTCAAAAAATGAAACAATTTTTCAATCTACTGATCTACGGTATGAGGCTGACGGACAACTGACTAAACAAGCAACACCAGAGACGACAACTCGATTACAGAGAGGCTGAGAGTGAGAGGCAGAAGCCTGGTGTCGCTGGTGAGTTGTCCGTCCAAAAGTACGGTATAAACGCACAGAGACCTATACCGTACAGTCTGACTTCGCTAATGTTACCGTACCGTACACCAGACCCCAGGGGTCTCGTGTAGTTTCGTACCTAACGTACTTCTAGTAGGTGTAGCATAACAATTTTTTGACATGCCAATCCTAACCCTCACCTGACTACGCCATCCGAAAATTACGTCACTACGACGTCACAATCACGTCATAGAGCTTGCCAAATACTCATACGATCGCCCGAAATAGCATCGGCGCCGACGATAAAGAACTGACTAACGTCAGCGATCTCTCTCCTATCGGGATCGTTGCCACGAGAAAAAGAGAGAAATGGCTGTTCGATTTCGGGTTCTCGTCTGCGTGTCTTGGATGACAGTTCGCATAGTTTGAAGGGCTCTATTACGTCACTGTGACGTCGAAGTGACGTAATTTTGGGATGGTGGGGTCAGGTGGGGGTTAGGATTGACATGTGAAGAAATTGTCATGCTACGCCTACTAGAAGTACGTTAGGTACGAAACTACATGAGACCCGCCCCCAGTTTAGTCGTCGCAGGTTAACTAAAAGCGGTAAGTACCGTACTTTTAGTTGGGACGGACTAAAAGTAGGCACTTGCAAATTAGGCACTTATTTAGGCACTTTGGAAAAAAAGTAAAAAGGGCGTAATACCTTTTAAAAACATAATTAATTAGTTAAAAATGGTCAAATTAAATGTTGAAAACGCAAATTTCAACGGGCAAACTCAATAGCAATATTTAAAACGCAGTATTAAAGGCAGTCGCACGCGCTTGGTCACCACATATGCTAGGCACATATTTATGCACTTCGAAAAATAAATAAAATGGCATATTCACTAATAAAAGACAGTGAATAAACATATTACCCACACTGATTAGCCTGAGTAAATATCTGAGAGATGCACTTGAGTCTAGTACTGGAATTTAGAAATAATAAATTGTTACCGGTAGGCACTTTTTTAGGCACTTAAATAGGCACATCGAAAAAAAGATGAAATGGACGTAGTAACTCCTAGAAAGATAATGAATTAGTTCAAAATATTTAAATTAAATGTTGAACGCGAAAATTGCAACAGTTAAACCTAGTCTAGTAGCTGTTGACCCACCTATATATGCCAACTAACATCGTACTAACATCAAATATGGGATTACATATTCATCTATTTTATTGTCTGTTACGGAAGTAGTTTAACAATATGTATCTCAGAATTTATTTCTATCATCCATAGATTACTGCTATATACGAATAAAACTCATAGGGTGTTTCAAACGTCAATTTACCACGGCCGAAGGCTATCGAAAGATGTACAGTTCGAGTTAACGAACGCAAGACAAAATTATTGTCAGTCAATACTGGGGTCATGATCCGCAAAGATGATCAGTCAACAAACAATTTATGTGTAGTGGTAACAAATCACTATAAATGGTGACAAAACCGACTGGAATTAACCTTCTGAAACAGACCGGATCACCGGTTTCAACCACAAGTACGGACAACACCAGGACAGGCAACAATTTGACGGAATCAACCAAAAAGCTGACCAAGCGAAAGATAAGTTTCCTTTCCATCATCTACCATATTAGTCGTAAATTGGGGCCCATGCTGATCTAATATCTCTGTTTTCTTTCCGCAGCTCTCAACGATTGATGAGAAACCATATATATACACGACAAAAGCGTTCAAGGATCAAATTGCTGACAAGCCGGAACAATCAAAACATCATGACGAAACAATGAATTAAATCGAATAAAATATGGGAACGTTAAAATTATGAATATGGACTGTGTTGTCGAACAATCGAAATGAACTCTCATAGAACATGATATATATATATATGTTCGAGGTGGAAAACCTGATCAAAAAACGAACTGATGAAAACAATGAACTGTTACTAAGGTAAAGTCCTTCTTCTTCTTCTTCTTCTTCTTCTAAATATATATGGTGTTTCAATTCGGCTTTCAATTCTTAAGAATTAATTGAGAGTAACATACTTTGAATATTCGAATTTCAAATTCCCCTCAAAAGATTTATATTATTAAAAATTTGTGGTTAGCATTCCTCTTCCCATTAAATAGATTTCGTTAGTATTAAAATGCTTTCTAAAAGTAGATTCGAGCGAGTCATACTTTTAATTATTTACAATGCCGCCATATAGGACAGTGAAATAATAAGCTCGTCAAAAATTGTGTCAAAAAAGCCCAGGTGGTATAAACTTTAAAAAAATTTTTTTCTTCCCGACATGGATAGACCAACTATTTCACAAAATGGTAACAATGCGAGTGTAAGTATTTTTAGCGTAGCAAAGTACATTTAATTGAGAATATGTTTTAACCGTCCAAAACAAAAAATCCAAAGTAAAAATACACCATTCTCTTTGAATTCTACTTTACACAACTTTTACCTTTCTATAACCTCCTCTTTATTTCCATGTCTTGTCTCATTGTAGATTATATATATATATATGTAAATATTTTTTTGTCTTATATCATTATTTGTATCGTTATATATGTATATTGTTTTTATATATTTCCGGTTTATTAGAATGTGTCAAATCTTTTAACTTTCCTAGTTCTGGTCCGTGGAGTTTATATAGCAATTACCCCCAAATGTACCCGATTTCATGAGAAAATTATCAAAGCAAATTTAATTCACTTTTGAGAACATAACATGTTCCACCCAGTCATTATCTAAGTGAATTTCATTTCCCACAAATTAAATCCCCGGTCTGACAGGTACGGCTCATTTAAATACTTTATAATTACCGAACTATTATGACGCGAGCTCACGAAGTTACGTTTTCGAAAATATTTGGTTGTTTGAATAACATATAAATAAGCTCTTCAATGTAACTAAAAAACTAGTCTAGTTTGGAGAAGTTTAAGATTTGTATTCTGTGTGTTGTGGAAATCTACGAATAAAATCAAATAGAGATCTCTAACGTATCATCATTCACGTGGTTGTTGACGCGGAAGGGTGAACTTAAGGGTAACTTAAAAGTCTAAGGCAGTCTACGAATTAGCAATATACGGTGACATCGCATTTATTTACCATTTTATTTTCTACAAACTAGCCCCGTTTCGTCTGTATAGGCTACTGTATCTGTAACATGGGCAAAAAAAGGTCCCGTAGGTATACGCATAAAAATATGGTACCTCCTAGAAAATATTAATGTATTTTTCTCAACATTGGAGCCCTAAAAAGATCGAAGGACCTTTTCCCGAGCATCGACTTCCTTGTTTACTTCGTGACATTGGCCAATCAGCAAGATGCAAAAATGATGTATTTCACATCCACTCAGACAGATTTTCAGGCGGGGGCGTAAACGTTACCTCGTTTAAGCGTTTTTGAATACTATTCGTTAGTTTTCAGTTGTGTTTCGGATATTTAAATATATATCAAATAATTCAATGATCACATTGTCTTCTCAGGAGTGTCAGTTTAATTGCAATATTCAAAAATTAGTGTAGAAATAGCTGTGATAGACAAAGCTAAGATTCCTTACCGGTACTTTTAAAAAACATATTGTTGAATGCTATGAATCAGAATGATGATTTGAACAAGTACCCCATTACCCCTAACAGAGGCGCCTCACAAAACCACTCCTAAAATAAGCACCGTACATTTTGCAATGGTAAGTATGGAAAGAATTTTGTGGGTGTCAAAGGTCGGGGAAAGTCCATAGCAGTATATTCTTAGAACGTTGCCTTTGAAAATGCGAAAAGACGGACAAGATAGATAAGATAAATTTATTTTAACCTCATAATCTTTGGTCAACAAGTTAACTCCACAGCAATAGCTTACCTAAACATAAAGTGCATGCTTACAATAAAAGGTAGAAAACCACATGGAATTAAAATCACCAACACGAAATTAAAAATTTATTATTAAAGGGGAGAGGAGAATCCAATATAGCTCGACTGCTCGCCCAGTTACAATACTTGGTATCTTGCAGCAACTATATATAGCATGCTGTCTACAACTCTCATCAGGATATATCACTACTCATGCAGAAAACAAAAGCCATACACGTGTAATATGAATGATCCCACAGCAAGAAAAGAAGCATGACCATGAAATTGTCAGAAAATGAACAGCTATTCATAAAAAAATACCATCCAAGTATGTCAGTTACCATCGGCCAAAGCAAAGAACATATATATATATAGTGATAAGAATGCCTTCACCAGAATGCGATTGAAACAAGACTAATCACAATTTGAAGCAGTATCAAAAAGCTACACAGCACACCTAGTCACAGTAGTTAGTAGCTGCAGGAACTATAACAGGATTTCTATAGCTGTTCATGCCTGACAATAAAACAAAGTGCAAGTGAGGAGTGTTCGGGTTTTTGTCATGGATCGTCAAAGTCAAAAAGATATTCATTTCCTTCGAGGTTTGATTGCTTCAAAACTATTAACACGTATCAGTGAGTTTTTGAAACAGTAATTTTTAATATTTGGAGACTAGATAAGACTTGACTTGTTTTTGAAAAGATTTTTTAGACTTCAATGTTTTCAAATTTGAGGAAAGAGTTTGGGTCCATTAAAACACAGGGAATGCTGGCTCACAGATTTACTCATGAAGGGTAGGAACAAATCGGAGCTACTTCTTCGGTTGGAGGTATTTTTGATAAGTATGTCGTCGAAGCAGTTTGGTAGTGCGTTATTATGAAAGTCATATGCTAATGACAATACTTCAAATTTCATCATATTTTCAACCTTAAGTACATTTAGTGATTTGAAGTAATGGTCTACAGTCTTGAAGACAATTCTTAAAAAATTATTACAAGTACTTTGCAATTTTGAGACTAGTGTTTTGTTTCCATGGCGCCAAACTGAGCAACAGTATCTGATGTGGCTGAGTAATAATAATTGAAAATTTTCTAGTAAAGCCGATTGATTGACATACTGGTAAACCTTGGCAGCAATTGCCAAATTTATTTTTGTTTTACCAATAACGTGTGTAATTTGTGATTTTCAAGATAGATTTTCATCAAAGCTAACTCCCAAGAACTTTATTTCACTCACTCTTTCAATTTCTTTGCCATTGAGTGATAAAGATTTTGAACAATTCAAATTCTTATGCTTATTAGGATGGAATAGTACAAATTTAGTCTTGTTGACATTTAAGAGATAGTTTATTAACCAGCATCCAACTGTGAATGTTTGCTAGTTCTCGGTTCGCCACTGTGAATAGATTTCCAGATTTTTCCCACAGAGAATCAAGTCTGTGTCATCAGCAAACATGATTGACTTGGATGAGTCCAGACAACTAGGCATGTCGTTTATATAAGCTAGGAAGAATAATGGGCCAAGTAAAGATCCTTGGGTAACTCCGTGCTTCATGACACAAATATTAGTAGAGAATGAATTGTCGTATTGTACGACTTGCTTTCTGTCATGCAGGTAGCTCCGGATCCAATTGAGTGGGATCCCTTTTATTCCATTGTGATAGAGCTTACTTAGAAGGATAGAATAGTCAATGTGGGCAAAAGCTTTAGAAATATCAAGAAATATTCCAATAACATGTTGATATCTTTCAAACGCCCTTGTTGATTTATGTACCAAGACATTAGCAGCCATAGCAGTGGAGTGTTGCTTGCGGAATCCAAAATGATGAGAATATAGAATATTAGTGATTTCAAAATAATTAGACATCCTACTATACATTATTTTTTCAAAGATTTTGGAAAACGGTGGAAGAAGACTGATAGGCCTATAGTTTTCATAATCAGAAACATTACCCCTTTTGAAAACAACTCACCAGGACTTTCTGTAGCAGTGGCGTAGCGACGCAATGTGCCGCCCCTGAATTTTTGCACAAAATGCCGCCTCCTTAACACCGTCGTAAACGCTGATTAAAATTTCACACAGAAACGGTAACAATCTTCATCTAACACATGAGGATGGAGGAATTACGTCTATCTACCGCAGACAGGTGGTAAAGGTGGCAGATGATTCGATGATCTCAATGTCCTTTCTTGTCTTCTCGCGAAAGCGAAATAAACTGAAAACTAATATAAACTCAACTACCAAAGCTAAATTAACAAAACAATGCAATAGCTTACAATAACCGACATTCTTTTAGGACTTCGACAGCATGAGTATCATTATACCGTCACAGATACCACATAATCAGTCACAATCTAAATAAGTTGCAAATTAGTTTAGAGCAGGGGTTCCCAAAGTTGATTAAGCGTGGGCCAAATTTGAAGCAGGTGTATATTCGCGGGCCAGAGAAGAGATGTGGCAAAAAGGGTGCAACGGTACGGCTGGGGTTCAGGGCGCTTAGAAAATAGACACTAAAGACGAAGAATGCTTCGTCTCATAGTGGAGCCTAATGTTATATTCCTTCAGGAATGGAATATTTTGTTGACGGTATTTCGCCATAGCTATTTTGACACGCATCGGCCATATTTCGGCATCCCAAATTTGACACGCATCAACGGTATTTTGACATCCCTATTTTGACACTCATCGACCGTAATTTTACCATGCGTGTTTCGACCGCATTGCGCTATCCTATTTTAACCCCGTGGTTGGTAGCATAAAAGTCATATTGGAGATGTCAAAATACGGTGGATTCGTGTAGCATACATTAGTCTGGTAATAGCGTTGCGCTGTCCCTATAAGTTCAAACTGCATGCTGAACTTGTGTGTATTTCCAAATATATCAACGGCGGTTTCACACTGACATTGCCACGCAGTTCTCTTACGCCATCCCTAAACTGACGCGCATCGACCATATTTCGCCATCCCTATTTTGACACCCCTAATATGACTTTTATGCTATCACCATTATGACCAAAAGACGTCTACCATGCCAAATAGCTGAATAGGGTATAGTGCCCACGCGAGACAGACTTTTATTTAAGAGTTTTATGGCCAAATATATCAGCATTAGATTTTATTGATGAAATTGACACTGAACCTATAATTTTTAATACTTATGAAATTGTGGATGGCAACCGTATGTTAGTCGTTGGTGGCAACTGACTATGATAACCCCCAAAGGTCTTATTGTTGTCTCCCAGCCATATTCCGAAAGCGTTTTAATTTATAGTTATATAGGTATGTAATATGTATGCATATTTGTGTTTTCTTGGTTTGACCGTGAATATATACTACTACGGTTTGACCGATATGTTAGTCGTTGGTTGGTTTGTCAAATAAAATAATCTCTCTCTCTCTCCTGAACCCAAGCTGACAAGTATTGTACACTAGGCGGAGCTATAAACATTTTAACACGTGATGGTAGGGGAATAACCCAAACAAGTGTTAAACAAGTGTTATAGTCACTTTGGAATAACCGGAGAACGTAGCAATGGTGCGGGATCCACGACGCAGAACTTAGTCAAAGTTTACAGCATGAATGCAATATACAGAAAATAAAGTTCTATCCACAGTATATAACTCTTGTTGACTTATCCTGTATCCAATTTGGCAATCCTCATAAAATTATTAATTTGGTGTGGCAAATGAATTTATTCATTTTTTTTTTATTTGTTTGTATATTTTACTTTTTTCTGAGTAATTGATCTTTATGTCCCCCTTTTGGGTCTAGTATAGTTTAGTACCACAAGTACTTCCAGTGGGCGTACGGTAGCATAACGATTTTTGCATATGTTATTCCTAACCCTCACCTGACTACGCCATCCAAAAATTACGTCACTACGACGTCACCATCACGTCATAGGGATTGCCAAAGTATAATTACGATCGCCCGAAATGGCATCTGCGCGCCAATATGAACTTGCTAAAGCCGGCGATCTCTCTCCTATCGTGATCGCTGCGACGAGAAAACGAGAGAAATAGCTTGCTCGATTTCGGGTTTTCGTCTGCGCGTTTTGGACGACCATCCGCATACTTCGGTGGGCCTTATTACGCCACTGTGACGTCGGAATGACATAATTTTTCGGTGACGTAGTCAGGTGGGGGTTAGGATTGACATTTGCAAAAATTGTTGAGCCAGGCCAATTGAAGTGGATGTGGTACTAAACTATACCAGACCCCCCCCCCTTTTTCACTCCCGAGCTTATCATGTCTCGATGATTGTATGTGTGTGTGTGTGTGTGTGCGTGCCTTACCTAATTAGTTTTTATACTTTTGGGTTCAGCGAACAGGTACTACTTCTTTTATCAAAACCTTCTTACCCAAAATCTGTGCGCTTATACTTAAGTTGTTCAATTTTTTCTTTTATTTTGCATATTATGATGAACTATATTAAAAATTTATGCGGATGTGATATTAATACCTCAATGTTGACTGAATGTACGTATGAAAAAATGAGCTTCATGATTGTTTACATGTTTGTTTTTTTGTTCTTAGCATATATTATTTAGAAAAGAAAGTTGTACAGGAGACACACATGTCACAATGAATGACACGTTTGGGTTTAAGATTTTGATTTTATGGAATCACTGCCCCTAAAATTTACAGCGTGAAACGACCAAGTTTAATAAAATATTGTTATAAGTTTATTTCGAGTCCATAATCATCATGACAGGCGATAAAGTGATTGATAAAAACAAAAACTGAGTCGAATAAAATCTTAAGTAAGGTTTAAACTGTGCAGAATACATGTACATGCTCACTCAACCAAGATTATTAATTAGATCACACACACAATCATAGAGATAATATGAAGTAAAAAAAACGCGATAAACTTAAGATAACTCATAAACAGAAAATAAACAAACAAAAAGATTTGAAATTGTTTGCCACACCATATATTAATCATTTTATCATGATTGCCTAATAAGGTATTGATTTCGTTAACATGAGCAAACAAAAACGAGAATATTTATCAAAAAGATTGATTTCGCAAAGCTGTTCAATCAGTATATAAGCATCTTAACCTGTTCACAGTGATTTTGTAATAAATATTCCATTATTCTCAGTTTATTCATCTTTCCTTTTATTCCATATTTTCAAATTGAATCATTGAGATATTCATTCGATTTTTACCATGCTCAATAGACTAAGTCCACTTGTATGTCCTATCCAATTAATAGAATGGGAATAACATGATACCAATGAAATATTGTCAAACTTTTCAACATCGATTATAGCTGTGGAATGCTTCTGCAAAATTTCTCTATATCACAGAGATATATTGTCTAGCATGAACAAATTTTTTCACATGCCTTTATTGCCACTATTATCTTGTTTCTGCACAATGGCATGAAATTATGTTCCTATATAAATTATCGTATATTGATTATTTAATTTTCCTTTTTTCAGGTTTTTCACTTAAATTTTATATAATGGAAGACTCAGATGCAATAACCAGTAATTCTGCAATCAGTGTAGACATTATAGAAAATTGCTCAAAGAAAAGATTCAATGATGAAATTCAACCCAACAGAAAACCATGTATTTTGAGAGATATTGATATAGGTTTATGCAAAACAAAATGGACTGTCGACTATCTTTGTCAAAATGGTGGTGATATACCTGTGAAAATTCATGTCAGTAAGACACCTCAGATGAATTTCATAACTAAAAATTATGCATATAAAACCTTGCCTTTCAAAGAACTCGTTAGACGGGCTGCTGAAAATAAACATGAGGAATATTTCATCTCAGATAATGAGTATTACTATCTCCGATCGCTTGGTACTGATGTGAGGAAAGACGTGGCAGATGTAAAAAAACAATTCCCTCAACTCGCAGATGATATATTAATTCCGAATTTTTTCCCAGAAGACTCATTTTTTTCCAGTGTTTTCCGTATTGCATCTGAAAAACTTCAACTATGGACTCATTATGATATGATGGACAATTTATTAATTCAAGTTAAAGGGCGAAAAAGGGTTGTTCTATTTCCACCAACGGATGTTGAAAATCTATATCTTCAAGGTGACAAGTCAGAAATAATGGACATTTTCACGCCAGATTTGTCGAAATATCCACTTTTTGCAAAAGTAAAACGTTATGAAGCATTTTTAGAACCGGGTGATTTATTATTCATTCCTGCCTTGTGGTTTCATAACGTTGTGGCACTGGAATTTGGAATCGCTGTAAATGTATTTTGGAAAAATCTTTCACCCCATACACTTTATGACAAGAAAGATCCTTATGGTAACAAAGATCTAATTCCCGCTGCACGAGCGCTGGACTCAATCAAACATGCGATAAAAGTAATCGGTGGGCTACCTGCAGATTATAAAGACTTTTATGGCCGTAGAATGGCAGAATTAATTAGGTCTAAAACTTACATACAGAATTGATAGAACAAGAATTAAATAAATTACAGCCAATCTTATTCTTTTTAGTTTAATGAATTCGTTAGTTTCATTTGTCAATTAAAACTTGAAATAGATTTTTATTGCTGATTGATTATCGAAAATTCATTTTTATTTTTTTTATCAATTCTATTTAAAAGATAATCATTGAGAATTATGTTAATTACAATAAGTGATTTATTTTGGTTCAGTTTTGATGTATACTATTAATGGTATTTAAGAATGAAGATTTATAGAAGGATATTTGAATAGAAATAATATTTGGTTTTAACTGATTTCAAACCATCGTGACATATAATAGACTCAAGTTTCGCCCCATTATAATTACATTTTCAATCATAGGAAATTCTATTTGTATGGCCAAAACTAATTATTTTTGATTGAGTTTTTTTATCATGCTTTTAGTTAAAAATTAACAATTAATTCTAATCTAGTGATGATTTTTTGATCACAGTAGTTATAATCTTTTCCAATATAATTATGAGTATCAAAGAAAGATCATGGAAATCAATTCCAATAAACATTTCTGGAGCTCGAGACCTAATTTGCTTTGAAGAGTTAACAGAATACAATGTAACTGAGGATGTAAGTTTAAATCAGGATTCTAGTTATGAACATAAAGCATTTTATGTAAAATCATGCATGATTGGAGATGACATCTTTCAGAAATTCAGTTTTTTACAGAACCTCAAAATTAGTCTTTGACTACATCAATTAAGTACCAAATGTACTCAAAGATCAATTACAAACAGCCACTGAAAGGTTAATAAACTGATAGAAAATTGAAACGTAATCAATTCTGAATAGCGATGAGTTATTTAATACTGAAAAATGATGATATTTTTGTGACTGCAAGAGCGAGTCTGACATTTATGTTGGGTACTCCTGTAGTGTGTGTACCAGGTTAGGGTTAGGCCATGATTTTATTCCGATTTTCCTTATTTTAGGTCTATTACGAGTTTGGGGACTGTCTGTGTTAGCCAAGTGAATATACCCTCCGCCTATAGGTTTCAGTCCCTTTACACAACTTGATGTAAAGTTGACGAACAAAATTAGTTACCTCCAGATTGGTACATTGGTACACACATTTCTTGGAGCGCCCATGTTGTGCACATGAATTCTTTTCTTGGAACATTTTCCCCCCGCTTAGTCAACATGGAATAAAACCTAAATTTAATAAAGATCAAATTTGCAGTGAGATTATTCAACATTTATCAGTATACATCTCATTTGCAGATACAGACCCCAGTTCCGGTTGTAAGCAAACCATTAAGCAAGAAGCAGAAAAGAAAACAGAAACGATTGAATGACATTGCAGCTAAAAAGCGCCGACTCACAGATGGCAATGAAAGAAACACAAACAATACTTGTTATAATGGAGTAAATAACTTGACAGAAACCAACAATAAGAATTCTAAAAAAACTACAACTACGAGAAAAAAGAATAAAAGAAATAAACAAAAAGGAAAAAATACAAATCATGAAAATGCATTACAAACTGAGGATAAAGTTTCTGGAGTTGTGGAAAATGATTGTGATATTGATATGACTGAATGGGATAAACTTCTTGTTCCCAATGAAATTAAGGAAGCGTTAAAGGAAATGTCATTTTCAAAACCAACTAAAATTCAACAAGAAGTAAGTACCTAATGAAAGTAAGCATAGCATTGTATAAGGATTAAGCTTATTACCAGAGCATGATCAACATGATTACCGATTCAATATTCTGGTTTATTTTTTGAAGGCAATAGAGTAAATCAAATTTCCAAGTGGCAAAAATTTTTGTTACATTTTAACATACGTTTCTATTATCTGTTTTTTACTATTGCATTCATTCATAGATGAAATAGCATTATTATACTGATCAAAATACAAAAGTCAATGTGTGGAAAATGTGGTTTAATAATGTTAGGTGTGAATAAGCCATTCTGAAGGCGACACAAGGTCAGCTTATATGCTGTATAAAGGTTTTTGGTAACTATTTAAATCAAACCCATGGCGGTGTGGCGCATCGTGCTAAGCGTTAGGAATACGCTCGCCTCCGCAACTCTGATTACCCTGCGTGGGTTCGAATCCCATGCGAAGATTGTTATGTGCGAGAGGATTGCTGACCTCACTGCCGCCGTAGGGTGGTTCACGTAACCGGTGGTCGGTTATGGCTTCCTCCACCATCAAGTCCATGTCTCCGAAAACAAATAACTGGCTAACTAATCCCCCACCCGACATGGACTGGTAACTGGACGAGAGGGCGCGGTTTGCCATATGATTAAGCCACATTATTGGTTTTCTCAAGATAATTTGTAAATCCTATCCATTGGTAGAATATGCGTCCCTCAGGAAGTTTGTATTATTAACATTAAATCGTTTCAGGTGATTAAGATTGCTATTCAAGAGAGGGTGGATATTGTTGCTGCTGCAGAAACCGGGAGTGGTAAGACACTAGCATTTGGGATCCCTCTCTTGTATCATATGTTGGAAGATAAGGCAAGAGGATTTGACGAATGTGTTCAAGATGAAGGAGAGGAGATAGTTTTGCAGGAAGATGAGGTTTTTATTTACTTGATTTTGAAGTTATTCGTCAAAGTCTTTCATATTATATATTAACATGACTAATTTGTTATGTTGAAAAAATCTATTTTCGGTAACAAGAATTTATTGCTTCTCTATTGTAGATTTTAGTATATTCTTAACGAAAACAGACATTTTTGCACAGGGGAAGCATGCACCTATTTACACAGATCAATGTTAATGAAATTCATTTGCTGTATTATTTTCCTTTTTTTCACATAGTAGACTACATTCTAAAAACATTACTCTTCAGCTTAAACAGCAAATATTATGTCATAATATTTTTCTCTGATAGGAATGTGATCCTTCTGACTTGGTTGATGACATTAATATTGAAAACAGCCTTCAAAATGACAAATTCAAGAAGAATCTTCCTGCTTTAATATTAGCTCCAACGAGAGAGCTGGCAATACAGGTAATCCATTAAAACTATTACCTTTTTTAACTTCATGCTTTTCAAAATCTTTGTGAGACTTACTCTAACTTCAATTTTTCTCCAGGAAGACTGTTGGTTGGAATATTCATTTGATTCACTGTATAATTTTGTAAAGAATATATTTTGTCAAGTTATGTCCAATTGTTAATAAGAATAATATCTTTGAATGAAATAAATATTTTAGATACAATTATGAGTGTGAGTAATAGGTGTGAGGGTCTTCTTTATATTTACTATTCCTTGCATTTCATGAATCATAATCAAAGCACAAGTTACTATTTTTGGTTTCATAATGATTATGATAATTGCAAATTTGTACTTGTATATTACAGGTAAAAGATCATCTATCTAAAGTTGGGAAGTATACAGGTTTCAAGATGACTGTTATTGTTGGAGGCATGTCTTCACAGAAACAAGAACGATTGCTAGGAAATGAACCAGATATTATTATAGCGACACCAGGACGTTTGTGGGAGTTCATCGAGCAAGGTGAAATTTGTTTCGTCTTCCATAGCAAACAATGCTTTATTGAGTATTTGGTATTATAGAACTATCTACAGCAAGTTGTTTTTATTTAAAAAGATCTAACTTGATCATCAACATAATCATGATATGTACCAAAGTTACTTTGTTCATTGTTTATCTTCAATAATTGCGAATTCGAATAATAATAATTATCGAATTGAATATTTAGGAATATTAATTTTGATTATCTGTACACTTTAAATTGATAATTCTAAATTGTTCAAACATCCCTTCCAGGAAAAACAAATTTAAAACAGCGGCTTTCCAGATATTTGTATTGAATGTATAACTTTGAATAACTGCTAATTTTTTTCACTCATTATAATAGACTTGTGAGTTCTAGTAAGTATCGTAATTGTCTAATAATTATTGCAAGTATTGCCTCGCATTAATTTATGAGTGGGAATAGATTTAATCGACTCAATAGTTGGAAATTTTGCTTTGTTATATTTTCCAGGTCATCAATATTTACTGAATTTACACCGTATTCGATATCTCATCATTGATGAAGCAGACAGAATGTTGGAACGAGGTCATTTCGAAGAACTTGTAAAAATCCTCGATGCTATTAATAAAAAGAATTATAAAAATGTAATTACGATTTCAGTTTTAGTGCTCGAATTTAGTTCTGTTCACACTTTCTATAGTTTTACAATTACAACAAGTCACTAAACTTTTACAAACTCCAACAACCAATAACATAGAATCAATAACCGATTTATCCCTAATGAAAAAAAAGCTGATGGGATGTATTTAAATAGTATCGCAACAAACGGGCTTACACCTACACCAAATCGAGTTTAGTATGATAGTGGTTAAGATGCATCCATTAGTCAGATATTGTCATCATATGGATGTATTATTCCGTTCAGTGGATGAAAGAGTTTTCTATTTATTCGGTTGGTTGCTTGAGTAAGTTTTTTATTCTTTGCTGACAGAATCTGAAGTATGAAATTCAATTTATAACTCATGTTGCTCATTTATATATTTATATTGCAGGAGAAGCGCCAAACATACATGTTTTCTGCAACTCTCACAACAGTTCATCATGTTCCAAACAGATTGAAGACGAAAGGAAAAGTTTTAACAAAAAATATTAAACTTGAAACACTGATGAAAAAAATTGGAATAAAAGAGAAAAAACATGTCGTTGATATAACAACGGTAAAATCAACAATCTTTTTTTATTTGATAAATAATGGATTATAATGGTTATTTTCAGGCATTTTTTTTTCAAAGACGTCAAGGTGAAACTATGTTATGTTGTAGTAGGCCATCATAAGATGTAAATAATGTATGCCATTTGGACTTTTTCGCACTAACCGACAATTTTGGGTTTTGTCCCAAAATTCAATATATGATTAACAGTTGTTGTATCATATTCAAGTAACCAAATATTGATAAATATATTTTGCAGAAAAAGGGAACTGCTGAAAAGCTGTATGAAGCTAAAATAATATGTAGTACGGATGAAAAAGATCTTTTTATGTATTATTTTATCAGATCTCACCCTGGAAGAACATTGGTATGCTTAAGTTGTTAACTTTACTCAATTATACTTTCAACTTTTGTTTTGACTTCTTTAGAAAATATGATAATCATTTTTATTGAGTTCCTGACAGTCTGACACGAAGTCTTTATCTTTATGAAAAGTGTTTCAGGCAGACAACAAAGTAAGAGTAGACCATATGATATTGTGGAGAATTTTTAACATATATTTGATATGATTGATGATTTGCCGCAGTTGCCTTGTTTAATAAACTTACTTTATATGCAGGTGTTCACAAACAGCATTGATTGTATCTTTCATATAACTGGAGTATTGCAAGCATTATCTATCACTCCTTTCCATCTACATGCTAAAATGCAGCAAAGGCATCGTTTGAAACATCTCGAGAGGTTTCGAGCAAATCCTGATTCAATTTTAATTGCCAGTGATGTCGCTGCAAGAGGTAGTGTATTTTATAAACACTTGCAGAATTTGACTAGGTCTGTGGAGTTGGCTTCAAGCTATCAAAAAACAACTTTGGCTCAACCAGAATTTGGATTCTGAAAAAATATGACACTGACTAGCAGTATATGCTAACTTTGACTCCTATAACACAGCCCTGTTTCCAACTAAATTTATCATGCTGTGGCTCGAAAAAAATACTATACTTTTTTTACATAGGTCTTGATATTCCTGACGTACAACATGTTATTCACTATCAAGTTCCAAGAACATGTGAGACGTACATTCACAGGAGTGGAAGATGCGCTAGAACAGGTATACCACTTTATTCTTTAATTAAATAGGTCACACCCATTGTACATGAAATATCTGTAGTCTTACCAGGTATGGGTGGGGGCAGACTTTTAGTCATGGCTAAACAGGAGTCATTGTTGAAATTTGATGTAAATTGAAGGTCTTTTTGCATGTTTTCTCGCTTGTCTTAGAGAGAATCATTTTGTATATGACTTCTGATCTGGCATTAGTTTTTGACTTGATTTGAGTAATGAATAGTAAATAGCTCGAATGAAAGTAGAATCCATAACTTTGAATGGGTTGGCGTACTTTGATGAGCATTAGGAATATGTTTTAATATTGCATCGCGTTACAAGGTTATTACAGGGTTACGGTTTCCACAGCAGTTATAGTCCTTTGACAACAAATAAATTGTTTTCTATTCCCTTGCCTGATCTTGGTGATTTCTCGTATGTTTAAATCTTTCTATCAACGTTTATGGAAACCCTACCAATGATTTGAGGACTCATTCCTAATTCTGCTGATGAGTGTATTGGAATTCTGTTAAGATATGCTCATAATGCTAGTGAAAAAGTCTGTTCTATATCTGTGCCAGGGTTTGTTTCTGCAATGAAATCTACAATATTGTATCATCTGTAAACTATTGGACAATTTCCATATATTAATTGTTTTAGGTAATGAGGGGCTGAGTCTTTTGATTGTAAGTCCCGAAGAATTGTCATTTTACAAGAGACTTTGTAATTCTATGCAATTAGAGAATGGCATTCCTCAATTCCCTTATGATCAGGCATCTTTAGCATCTTCTAAGAAAATTGTAAAACTGGCTAAAGAAATAGATGCTCTTGGTCACAGTAAGAAAAAGGTAATTTTATTCTTCATTAGCTGTGAGGAAACAGTCATGAGTAATGAGCATATAAATAATTATCATACTTTATCAGACAAAAATTTATTTTAAAATTTTTCGTAGAAATTTCAAATTCAAATTTAATGATATTTGAAGAGTAGATATTTCGATTCACTATTTTCAGACTAAAAATTATGATTCATGTTAGCTTTTCGAAATAAAAATTTGGTGAGTATGTCATGATTTTGCCGCCACAAAATAAATAAATTCAGAATATTCCGAGTAAAAAGGAATTGCAAGTTTTTATTCGGGGTATATTTCTAATATACCAAAGTATTTGCATATGGACAACCCCAACCATCTTGTAAAATTTTGGGGAATTTAGGATCAAGGTGGTTCATGACTTTACATACACACTTATACATTTGCTGTACCTGAGGACTCAAAGTTTGCCATCAAACTTCTAGCTACTCTAGCCGCTGGTTGTTTTTGATAATTTTTGCGGCTATGCTTATTCATACATTTTAGACAAGATAGATGATTATATCGACTCTTCTGCTTTCCCACCTGTGAGATAATAAAGATAGCTTACTGTATCATATGGTGTAACGATATCACATGATTTAAGTGAAAAGTTTTTTTTCATCAGATTCGACTCAATAATGATTGGTTTACAAAAGCAGCAGCAGAAATGGATATTGAATTAGATGATGATATGTTGATGGAAGATGATGATGATGAATCAAGTGTGATATTAAAACAGAAACAAAAGCAACTGCAGTCGTTACTAAAAAAACCAATATTCCCAAAGCAATTTTCAGGTAAGTTGCAGCTTGATATGGTCTGTTCTGAAATTGAATAACCATGAATAACAGATTTGCGGATTGTATTAAAATTTGATTGGCCACTTACACAAATTGGTTCAACTTTCTGTATTCCCGATCCAACAGTTTTTTTCTATACACTATGAGCGTATGGAAACAGGGTCACACAAACCCTTATCAGCTAACGAACTAAAACTGAACTCTGTACCAAACATATATTTGCTTTGACTAGTTTTAATTCTGAAATTCGATATTGTCATTCACATGATATAGCCGATTTTAAGGTATACAATCTTTTTCCAGGGAAATACTTGACAAAAACAGGACAATTGAGTTTACCAGTCAAAAAAACGACCAGCGCAATTGAAGAAGTCAAGAAAATTTCAAAGAAATGAATTTCTTAAATAAATTGTAGTGATAATCAACTTATGTCAATCACCTACAATGGTTAATATGTACGGCATTTCAGTCCACGCGGAGTGACAAGTGAACTCAATGTCATATAGTGATGTTGAGTTTTCAGATTTATTTTTTGCCAATGCTCTGTTCAATGGTGTCTAAACCTCTTCATTCAAATAAAATGTCTTGGTTATATTCTGAAGTCCGTCAATGTAGTTAGTAGTAATAACTTGTTTTGGGGAAAGAGTAGTTGGTGTTGTGATATTAACTTTTGCCCGGTGATTCGCCTCTTCCAAATACTACTACTATTCTGCCCAGTCAGGAACGTTTTTTTACAATTTTTAAGTATAGATGGATCGATTATTTCGTAATTGTGATTAAAGAAAGTGGAGATTACCTTAAAATTGTTGTTTTGTTTCCGTTGAAACTTCTGAGTTCGCCTACACTTTTCATTAATCATATTAACGAATTAATTATAATAAGGAAATATGTAATTAAACTGGCTTTGGTTGCCTCATTTTGATGGCGTGGTTGTTTCTAACCTCTTTCGTTTATCCTTTTGTCAAAGTTAACAGCATAAAAATGGAGTGAGTGTGAAGAGAAAACCGCAGGGTCAGTGGCAGGGATCGCCAGTAGTTAAGAAAAGTAAGAAATAAACGGAATTGACAATGAGGGCCGGACCAAAAAAAGTCCAAGAAAAATGAATATAATAAAGCAAATGGAGCAAGAAAGCTGTACAAAAGGATACGCGAAAGAGGTTAAAAACAACACCATCATCAAGATGAGAAAACCGAAGCCAGAAGTTTGGCGTCAAGGAAAAATATGGGACCTCCCTAAGTATACGCACCAAGATGTCTATCAGGTTATGCGACATCTTGGTGCGCATACTTCAGGAGTACCGAAATATGTAATTAAAGCGAAGCTAGTGGTTGTGGGCCAGTCAAGGAAAAATCAGGTAAAGCCGAGTCTGACAAAGCGACTTATCATTTCTGGTTCCCAAAAGTGACGTAGTCAAATAAAATAATGATAGAAATCCAGTGACTGACTAATCAAACCCTGAAAATAAATATCAGAGATGAAGAAAAAGCAGCAAGCGTAAAAGATCAAGCAGATACGCAAAGCAAGCAGGCGAAACCAAAGAAGATGATAAAAGTAGTCAAGAAAAATAGAGATAGAAATCCAGCGACTGACTAACCAAAAAAAAATAAAGATGAAGAAAGAAGCAGTATAGGCAGTCCAAAAAAATAAAATATATGTAGAAAAAAAGAAGCATGCAGGCCAGTCAGATAAAATAAAACATGAAGATCAATATCGAATCTAACATATATAACTCACCATATCTAAGGATTACACTTGAAATGAATGTATAACGTCTGTCGCCGTATTCGTTGGTAATTATCATTTGAATGCGTGATTGACTTGCATAAATCACTGATACATCCTTGCAGTTGCATGGAGTATTGGTGTCAAATTTGGACAGGCGCTCATGTTACCGTACTAAATCTGCAGGACCGAATTAAACAGAATATCAAATGTGATCGACGTCTAAGCTGCATACTTTTCGAATCATCGAAACTCTGCGTCGCTGTGGTTATTGGACACGTAGTGGACATAACGATCGTTTCAATATTATGTTGTTGTTGTTGGACACGTAGTGGACATAACGATCGTTTCAATATTATGTTGTTCTTGTTCTTTGACACGTTTTTAAAAAGTCGCTTTTCTCTTCGAATACTGGACCAATTGCTTTGAAATTTTCAGTGGTTAAAGATTAATTTTTTCGCTAGAAGGCTATTACTTTTGTTTATTCTTAAATTTTATATGAATCCTATGAGATATGATATTTCATACAAAATTTCGCGGTATTTATTTTTACTCATGGGAACACTGTTTTACACTTATTTCAAGCGGTTTCGCGATCGATTGTCTTGCTCAGTACTACAGCTACTGTAGGTCGGTACTGGTAAGTTGCCATACAGGTAGATAGATAGATAGTTTATTTCGAAAACTCCATAACAAACCTAAATTTAAAATGGAGAATTCTGGAGGGCAAGCAAAACCTACAAAAAAGTTTAAAACATGAAGTATCTCATGTGCCTGCCCACCAGCACGCACACAAAAACACAAGCCCAAATAAATGAGGCTTGGGCCAAACTTAAAAAACAAAATACACGATAGTAATAAACTTTCGGGCTGTTGTACTCTCTTTCAACAATTACGTTGATAATGACCAATACCTACAACCTCATGCAAAGATAATGTGGGGAGTGGAATGTAATAAATTTGCGACGATAGTCATACTCATGAAGCCATGAAAGCTTTAAGAAAAACCAAGCCATGAAAAACTACACTGATTGCTAGATTGGGCATTGCGGAAAAGGTGATAAGTGGTTTAATATACAAACAAACGCAAAACCATGGCGGCAAATTCGGTGTGCGGACACTCATAAAAGCAATTATTAGGAAAAACACTAATCACACGTGAGCAGGTCTGTAGCCTAATTGATACATTGACGTGGCCAACATTGTTAAAACAGTACCGGTATACACACAGAGAGAACAAATCAAAATATGCCACTAAATGAATGTTTAAAAATGTTACACTGTAAGTTACACTGCAAACTATTTACACATATATAGTTGAATACTCAGTATTCAAGCGGAATTTCTAGAAATAGCAGTATATCATACTCTTTGTCACAAAATAAAATATCTGAATCAATCCCTGTTCTATTCATCTTTCGATTCTGTTATGATGTCCGTATGTTGCCTTTATGCTGCCATGTAATTTCATATTTCGGCCTTTACTTGTTGATATTCCTTAAGTGCTGGTTCATTGTTGTCAATCTAATCTTTCTGCGCCGTTCAAAAATGCGACCGCACCCGACGACTGCCGAACACAAACTTTAAATCCAATCTTTTATCCATAAACTTCTTTAATTCCGGTGGATGGGCCTTGATCATGTTGATATCACGAGATACAAATCTAATAGTAAATACCGAAACACACAGCGCGTAGCATTCTCAGTCCAACAGCATTGATTCAACCGTAACGCAGTGAAATCGACTTATTCCTTCCGCAGTATTACTAATGCTGCAATGCAAGTTTTATAGCCTATCGTATGCGGAACGGAATATCAGACCTACAGGTTCGGTACCGGTACTGGTAGCTCAGTACGTAAGTACGATACTGGTACTGGTGCCGGTACCGGTGTCTTACCACAATGAAATTACCGTAACTTATTCTTTCACGGTCCTACCAGTGCAGTAATGCAAGCGTTGTAGCACTTGTAGCCTACTATATTTGTTTATTTTGATGAGAGTCTACTGGAAACAACATAAAATTTGAAAGGGAAGAATTGTTCTGTGATCAATTATCTGTCCTAAAGTGTAAACAACATAAAATTTGCAAGGGAACAACTGTTCTGTGATCAATTACCGTATATGGCCTACAGTGTACAGGTAAGATGCTGGCTGACTGCTAACCGGTACTGGTAGCTCAGTACGTAAGTACGATACTGGTACTGGTGCCGGTACCGGTGTCTTACCACAATGAAATTACCGTAACTTATTCTTTCACGGTCCTACCAGTGCAGTAATGCAAGCGTTGTAGCACTTGTAGCCTACTATATTTGTTTATTTTGATGAGAGTCTACTGGAAACAACATAAAATTTGAAAGGGAAGAATTGCTCTGTGATCAATTATCTGTCCTAAAGTGTAAACAACATAAAATTTGCAAGGGAACAACTGTTCTGTAATCAATTACCGTATATGGCCTACAGTGTACAGGTAAGATGCTGCCTGACTGCTAACTCAGTACCGCTTGACACGTTTTTAAAAAGTCGCTTTTCTCTTCGAATACTGGACCAATTGCTTTGAAATTTTTAGTGGTTAAAGATAAAAATTTTCTCCAGAAGGCTATTACTTTTTTTTTCGCTATGACGTCATCAAAATTATGTGACTCTACGTGTCCATATATTTGAGCATAGCTCTCTTGTTGTTCTTGTTCTTTGACACGTTTTTAAAAAGTCGCTTTTCTCTTCGAATACTGGACCAATTGCTTTGAAATTTTCAGTGGTTAAAGATTAATTTTTTCGCTAGAAGGCTATTACTTTTGTTTATTCTTAAATTTTATATGAATCCTATGAGATATGATATTTCATACAAAATTTCGCGGTATTTATTTTTACTCATGGGAACACTGTTTTACACTTATTTCAAGCGGTTTCGCGATCGATTGTCTTGCTCAGTACTACAGCTACTGTAGGTCGGTACTGGTAAGTTGCCGTAACGCAGTGAAATTGACTTATTCCTTCCGCGGTATTACTAATGCTGCAATGCAAGTTTTATAGCCTATCGTATGCGGAACGGAATATCAGACCTACAGGTTCGGTACCGGTACTGGTAGCTCAGTACGTAAGTACGATACTGGTACTGGTGCCGGTACCGGTGTCTTACCACAATGAAATTACCGTAACTTATTCTTTCACGGTCCTACCAGTGCAGTAATGCAAGCGTTGTAGCACTTGTAGCCTACTATATTTGTTTATTTTGATGAGAGTCTACTGGAAACAACATAAAATTTGAAAGGGAAGAATTGTTCTGTGATCAATTATCTGTCCTAAAGTGTAAACAACATAAAATTTGCAAGGGAACAACTGTTCTGTGATCAATTACCGTATATGGCCTACAGTGTACAGGTAAGATGCTGGCTGACTGCTAACCGGTACTGGTAGCTCAGTACGTAAGTACGATACTGGTACTGGTGCCGGTACCGGTGTCTTACCACAATGAAATTACCGTAACTTATTCTTTCACGGTCCTACCAGTGCAGTAATGCAAGCGTTGTAGCACTTGTAGCCTACTATATTTGTTTATTGGACACGTAGTGGACATAACGATCGTTTCAATATTATGTTGTTGTTCTTGTTCTTTGACACGTTTTTAAAAAGTCGCTTTTCTCTTCGAATACTGGACCAATTGCTTTGAAATTTTCAGTGGTTAAAGATTAATTTTTTCGCTAGAAGGCTATTACTTTTTTTTTCGCTATGACGTCATCAAAATTATGTGACTCTACGTGTCCATATATTTGAGCATAGCTCTCTTGTTGTTCTTGTTCTTTGACACGTTTTTAAAAAGTCGCTTTTCTCTTCGAATACTGGACCAATTGCTTTGAAATTTTCAGTGGTTAAAG